GGGGTTGGCAAGTCATTTTGTCTGGCTATGACTCAAGGGGAATTAAAAGTTTGAAACGATTTCACAACATAATTAAATTTCCTTGCCATAATCCTTCAGAGCAACAAAGTTTTCTTAATGTCTGAGATAAGGACTATAATTTTCTATAAATTCTGACCTTTATGTTGCCTTGGAATAGAACTCAGATCCAAGAATTTGCGTGCCTTTCCAACAAATCGACTTCTAATCCAAACAGATGATTCAAGAAATTCAAAGCTTTCCACCAAACTGACTCAGACTGTGCAACCTTCGCGACAAAAAAAAATGCGGCACGTGTCAATGCAACAAAATATCAGAAATAAAAATAATGTCAGAGTCGCACTTCAAGAGCAGGGACAAATAGATAGAGTGATCTATAAAATAAACTTAAGAAAATTATTAAAAATATACTGGTTGAGATATCTATTATTACCGTTATTTGAATCATATAATGCCATATCAGTTGGGAGGACACTTCTCGGGGGTCTGGGATTACCAATGTTACCTTGTAACATGGCCTAGTGTGATACCGTTACTCAGCCTCAATGCACAATCCGAAATGTAACGGTTGGCGAGGGCAGCTGGCAGCCGCTCCCGCCCGCTAGAGGGAGACAGTACTCAAGTACGTCACTCATACGCCCCGTTGCCCCGCCACAGATGCAACTGTAATCAAATTCGCTTTTCGCTAATTGTTTTCGCTCTCTCGCTTGCTCGTTCAGGAAGTGTTCTAGATTTACGTTACGCCAGCAGCACTTGTCTTTATTTCTCTCTATCCCTGTCACTCTCACATACATACATACATCTTTAATTATTGTATTCTCGCTTTTAGTGTGTCACATTTTTTGTGTATTTTGCTTTGTTTTTTCTATTGCTATTGCTATTGCCTTTTTTTTTGCTATTTCTCTTCCGCTTCTAATGCCGACGAATGACCTTGTGCTTGGTTTTTGTTATTGTTTTTGTTTCTATCATTTTTATGGCACTCGCCCACTTGTAATTCGCATTTTTATACAATTGCACATTGTATAATATTATTTTTATTTTATTTGCATTTTTTTTTATTATTTTTTTATTTTGTTTTCCTATTAGAACAGGTTCTGGGTTGTGCTTTGTGTGGCATTTTTTTTTAATCCGCTAGATACTTTTGTTAACCGTTTTTTTTTCCATCGGTTAAGTAACTGAAAAATGGTTATAACCAGTCTGGGACTTGACGTGACTTTGTGTCAATGTTTTGTTGATTTAGAATTAGATTCCAATTGATATTGTATTAAGCATAGCTTAGTTAGTACAACAGTTATAAATCAATCAATTGTCGGGTAATTAAGAGCAAACATTAGCCAGGAATTCATGTTAAGGGAAAGGGATTGGCATGAATTGATAATTTTTTTTTTTAATAAAATCTCCTAGTAATACTTAATTATTAATCTTTTGATATAACATTGTTGGCTCTCAATCATTTCTTGATTATGAAACATTTGCACAACAAACAAAGCACTGAAAACCTATTGAAGGGAAATTAGCAGCAGAACCGTGTATTTATTTATTATTGGGTTATACAAACACGCCCAAGGTCGTAGAACCCCCAACCTACCACCCTCCCCCAAAGATCGGTGCTCTGCTGCGATCGTTGATCGGTTTTTATAGGCCATAATCAATTTATTTTTATTTTTTCAAAGGCATATATGTATGTAGTTCATGCGAACCTTAACAAATTACGCGTTTGACTTTTATTATATTGAATAATAAGTATAAGTGCGGTCTCGAGGCGAAATATCAGCTAGCAATTGCATTTAGTATTGCTCCTAGGGGTATTATGTAAGCGGGAGAGCGCAATTTCACTGGCAAGGTCGTCGGCAGTCGTCGCCAGTGACTGGGCCAGGCCAGGCAATCCGGAAAAATAATTCAAAAGCAAACTAAGTTGGCCAGAACGCAAAAGGCCAGATTCAAGCAGTAGTATATCGAGTATATCCCCTGGTCTGTCCAATATTTGGCAATCAATTCATTTGCTAATCAAATTATAGACTTTCAACTAAAATCTGAAAATTTGGTAAGAGATAGTACCGTAATAGTTTATCAGTAAGAAAGTTAACAAACCTTTTAACTGTTTCCCCAAACACAATATTGGTATTAAAGTTTGCATCAGCAGTTAGCTTAGCTAAGCTTAAATTGCCACTTTGTATAAGAGTTTGCATAACAGTGGGGATACTAGTTAATAGAACAGTTTACGCAACAGTTGGCTAACTCGAGCGAATGCAAATTATTTCCCATCGAACGTAAGTCTCTACAGGCTCTACCAAGAACAGCTTGAGCATGAGGTAAACAATTTATTTTTTGCCCTGAGCCCCGAGCGAAAGTCAAGTGTTTTGTAATCTCAGCCTCAATGGAGGATGATCTGTAAATTGCTTATAACCGGGCAATTAAAAAAAATTAGATTTAGGTAATAGCTCTACTACCATGGTTTTCATTAAAAATTGGTATTTATTTTAGGGCTAGAAAGTGTCTTGATTGACGCTCCAAGTTCTCTTATTCAGCCCGTGGGTGAGTGTGTGTGTTTTTCTTTGCCTCAATTGCCGCCTGTCACTTGTCGCAAAATGATAACAATGGAATAAAAATACACTCTGAGAGGAATATAGACATTTATGAGTGGTCTACCGACACACTGGCAGATTCTGTGTTGACCCAATGCTGATATGTGGGATGCGTGGAGCTTAAGGTCTCCAACTGGGGCTTGGCATTGACATTGAAAATTGTAGAATGCCCTACTAACTGGGGGCATATGCGACACTACCAGGATGAGAAAGGAGGAATAAATTGAAAAATTTTAGAAACAGGTAGCAGAATCGAAGGATGCCCTTTCACAGCCAATGTGCTCGGGAGTGGGGAAAAGGCACATAAATCTATCAAGGCGGCCTGGTTGGCCTTGACTTTTATTTGCCCAGCTCGCAGACTCGTTTATTTATTAGCCAAGCAACAAAGGAGAACGGCAAGAACATCAAGCCGACCCGAGACAAGCCGAGCCGAGCCATTGCCCAAGAAATCAGTTCGCCTGATTCTCCATATAAGCATACACGCTCATATATACATTGTATAACTAAGCGTATCTTGAGACAAAAATAAATAAATAAAAATATATACAATTCCATGCGAATAAAAAAACAAAAACCCAGAACCTGAGCTAATGAAATCATTAGAATACCGTCAGTTCTCAGCCCGAAAATCATTCTCAACTGTCACTTTCATCCGTGCCTCTGTCAGATTCGTGGAACAGGTTACCCACTTAGCTGGAAATACCGATCCAAACATATGATTTAACCTGTGGATTTAAAAAAAAAACAATACACTTCTGGTCACATAATCGACGCACTAAGCTGAGCCGATTATGTGGAAAAATAAACAAAGATTTGATTAATTAGAGGTTTCGGAGAGGGGGAAGCCAAACAAAAAACAGAAATTGAAAGTGAATAATTTATGCAAATAAAATCAGAGACTAAACAATAATAAGTAATAATTAGGAGACAATCATAGAAATCTCTGTATTTAACTGTCTAATTTCTATTCTTAGAAATTATGCTTAGAACCCTAAAATATGCCATGATCTCAGCCAAGTTTTAAACAGAAATGTGGGGCACACCTTTAAAGAACTGTGCCAGACTAAACGGAAGCAGTCGGGAATAAAAAATCTCCAATGCAAATAGGTCTTAAAAAACAATCTTACTCATAAATTGCAATAAAAAAAATAAAAAAGCAAAAGCCACTCTACAAAAAATTGTATCAAAACAATGCAGATTTTGTATACAAGTTATACGCATTTTGTCCCATATATAGATTCAATTTCAATTCAGATACAGATACGACACCAACCAAAAGTCAGACATAACGTCAGACTGAGCGGCAAGTTTATTCCACAGTTGAAGTTCAAGGTAAGAGAGAGAGCCACTCTGAAGCAATTGTTGTATACACAAAAAAAATTAACACAAATATATATATAAATCTATATAGAAATCTATATATGTATAGCTGAGTATATGGCGCAACCTTGGCAATGCTAAAAAGTGTGCCGAGAATAAGAACCAAACCCCAAAAACGATTTCAATTTAAATTGATAATTAAATCTTAAATATACGTAGAAATTTTTGCTTTTTGAGGTGCAGCAGCTGATTGGACTGGACACTACATATATACATATATATATATATATATAGGAATATATATCATTCCTTCAAAGCAATCCCAATTTATGAGGTAATCCAATGATGAATTGGAATTATTTTATTCGTCAAGTGGTTTTCTTTTGAATTAATAATCCACACGTATTTAGACTTTCACTTCAATTAGATTTCGACTCGTAATACCCCTCACTCTAGAAATCCATTGACCCCATACCTCATAGAGTTCCCAGTTTAAAACGTGCCTTTACCATTATATTCCATTCTACTACTATTTTTTTTATGCCCAACTGTTGTAGAAAGTAAAATTACTCATATTTAATTTGACCTTTTGCAGCATTACCGTTATTCCGAGTCATACCATGAATGTGAATATATATATATATACTTGTATGTCTAACTGTACAAACAGCTCTATTAGGCGCTGACTCACTGGCAAGTCACTAAATCCATTGCGATTTCCTACATACCAAGTTTGTCTGGCCCAGTTCTACACTGTACTGCTGGTAATAAAAAAGATATATCTATTCCAACAAAGATAAAAGATATTAAAAGAGCTAGGCTATATAAGATTATCCCATGACTATAATACAAAATAATTAACAGATCTCTTCAATGTTACTTAATGCAATTATGTATGTTTTTAAAAACCAATTAACTGTTGCTTAGTGTCAGTATATATAGTATATAGCATATTCCGTATAGGAACCTGTCAACCGACTTATTCGAACCATATAACGTTCGACAAGTGCCTTCAGGGTCAACTGGTGGCTATTTCAACAGTCCGAGTGGTAAGACAGTCTCTGTGGCAACACTTACCTAGATCAGGAATCGAACTAGACGGCTCCTCGCCATTGCTGATGTTGTTGTTGTTGGTGTGGCTGCTGCTACTGTTATTGTTGTTGTTGTTGCTACTGGAGCTGGAGGCGTGTTTGACCTTGGGTGGTGGTGGTGGAGGAGGTGGTCGCATTGCTGCACTGCCAAGGTTCGATGGTTGCTGCTGATGATGTTGCATGTTGCTGTTGCTGGTGTTGCTGCTGCTGCTGGAGACGACGGGCGTGCGAAAGATGTGCGAAGAAGAAGAGCTGGCTGAAACGGAGTTGGAGGCGCCTCCACCACCCACTCCACTGCTGGAGCTAACGCTGGCAATCACATGTTGCTGGTGGGGCTGATGTTGCTGCTGCTGCTGTTGGAAGTGGTTCGAGGCGATTACATTGACATGTCGCGTACTGGTGCTGACCACAAACTTTCTAGCTGCTGCAGTGGGTGGTGCCACACCACTAGAGATATACTGCTGCTGTTGTTGCTGCTGCTGCTGTGGTTGTTGTGGGGGTGGTGGTGGAGGTGGTGGCGGAGGTGGGGGCGGAGGAGGTGCCAAGGGCGGCGTCTGGCGCTGCTGATACTGCTGCTCTAGATACCCGCCGCTTCGTCTGGCGATCACCGGGGAGACGGGCGCTGATCGCGAGTGGTGGTGCAGCGGTGGTGGCGAAACCGAATGCCTGCGAGCTGCCACCACCACAGTGGCTTCATCGTACAGTCGCCCGTCGCGTATCACCCGCACATGCTGCTGCTGTTGTTGCTGCTGTTGTTGCTGCTGTTGTTGGTGGTGCAGGGGGGGTGGCGATTGCTGGCGCTGTTGCTGTTGATGCTGCAAGTGCTGCAGGGCGGAAGGACTTGCCGAGTGGCGCCGCGACATGTGCTGATTGGAGGGCAGAGTGCGGGTGATGATTATCTGCGGAGAGCCCGAGCTGGTGGTCAGAAGAGCTGCCGTTTCCAGGGGAGACGAGCGCGACTGCTGCGCGAAAATGTGCTTCACGGAGGCGCCACCACCACCGCCGCCCGTGGAACTGGTGGCCCGCTGCTGCACATACTCCACCCGGGGCGTGAGGATCACTTTCTGGGTGCCTCCTGGCGTGGTGAGGCCTGTGGGCTGCCTTGGGGGCACCGTCTGCACCTGCACATGGGTATACCTCTGCTGGCTGGCCGGGGCAGGACTATGACTGCTGCTGGGCTCCCTTTCCCGCTCCCGCTTCTGCCGTTCATTCTCCTCCAGGTGCAGCATCTCAAAGTCGATGGGCTCCGATTTGATCAACTTGGAAGCCGTGGATCCCCCGCCAGGACTGTTTTCGGACGCTGGTCCTGGTTGTGTGGTGGTGGTGGTGGCTGCTGCCGCTGCGGCGGCTGCCTGGACTGCCTCCATGCACTTGAGTTTCTTCAACATGATGTATATATCCAAAAAAATGGTAATTTGCACAAAAATATCGATCTGTCTTAGATATAATCTTAATATGTTTGTGTATGGAAAGTTGGTTTAATAATTTTTTTTTTTTTTTTTTTTGGATTTGATCCTGAATCACTGTTGCCTCAATGCTGTTTCTGTATCTGTTCTATATCCTTGCCGTTACTTTCTCTTTAATTAATTAATTAAAATCAGTCTCTTCTTCTTGACGCTTTTTTTTAGCTGCTTGTTTGTTTGTTTGTTTGTTGCCTTGTTTGTTTGTTTTCTGTTGCTTTTGGATTATCAAAAAATTTGTTTTTTTTTGTCAGCCTTGAAAGTTGCATGAAAAAGTTATCCCTTTCTATTTCTTATATTGTGTATCCTAGAGAATTGTTGTTGTCCTTAGTCCTTACTCTTAGCTTAGCGTTGTTCCTACTATACCTGCCCAAAGTTCCTTGATCGTTACCATATAATTAAATATATATATATCCTTTATCTGTTATCTGTTGATTTCTGAGGCTTCTTCCGTTGACAATGAGATGAGTTGCGTTGAGTTAAGTTTTGGATAATGAACTTGGGCCGAGAGATAGTTATATGAGTTAGTTTTAGTAGCTAGTAATACTTGATGGTTTTCTGTTTGATAATTAATATCCTGCCCGATCCACAGCGCAGCTTCTGAGTATGTTTTGTAGGTATTCCTTTGAAGTAGCTATAAAATAGATAATACAGATTTATAGATCTTGTTAAAAAAAATTGAGAAAAGTAAACATTCTATTAAGTATTTACCAAAACTCACTTGAATTGAATTGATTGTTGGATTGATTGATGTATTGATTGATTAAAATCGTTGAATAATATGTATAAGAATATATATTTGATGATCGTATTAAGTGTGTATAAAGTTTAAACCTTTAAATTGTTATTATATGCACTGCTTACACTAGTTTAACTCTCTTTATACTAGTTACAAGAATTAATAATACGTTGTTTTAGTAATCTTTTCCAAAAATATATACCTTTATTTATATAGATATTTCTTAATATTTTGCACATGAAACACAACGCTGAAGTTGACGTTTTGTTTAGTTTTTATTTTTATTATAAACCTGAGCAGTAATTTTATTTTCAATGTTTTTGTTTATCTTCTTCCGGAGAATTGGTTTGCTTTCTTTAAACACCTCTAGAAAAATATAGTAGGTTTTAATTTTTTTATTTTCAAATTTTTTTTTTTTGGGAGGAGCGTTGTGTGAGCTTGATTTTTGAGGGCCACTTTGTATTATTTACGGCTTTAAGCTCTTTTTCACTTTCTTTGATTTGAATTTGATTTTCGGGTTTAGTTTCTTACACTTGTCTGTGCTGACATTTGACCTTTATGACGGGCGAGAGTTTGGCGAATTTGTTGATTAGGAACAGCTTATTGAAACACATTGCGACTCGGGCGACAAATAAAATTCCTTCGCTGGAATCTCACAGCTGTTTCATCGATGACTGCAATTTTCAGGCATTTTTGTTTCTAATTGCTTTTTTTTTTTTATTGAATGGCCAACAGCTGAGGGTCTTTTGCAAGGGGGTGGTGGCGGGTTATAGATAGCAACAGCTGGGCGCCCAGGGGGAGGCTGGTGGCTCCAGGGCGGAGTAGCAGATACTTTTGGAGGACTACGGTTCAAGAACGAGGACGACAAGACGACGAGGTCGGATATGTGGGCGAGGACGAGGACGTAGACGACGAGAGGACCCAAGCAGCTGTTCAGCCTGCACAAGGACAAGGACACGCTCGCGATACGGATACGATGGTACGACGTAGACGGAGACGATTCTTCGGATACGGTTACGGACACGGACACGGTTACGGCCACGGTCACGGCTCAATGTGGCAAACACTTGGCGCCCTTGGCAATGGGCTCTCGCTTATATAAGGGACCTTGACGTGCTCCCATAATTATTGCACATTTTCCGATTCATTTTCACTTTTTTTTTTCCAAAACTCTTATTATTATTTTTTTTTAAATATTTTTGGATATTTTTTTTGTATAAATTCATTCATTCACTTCCAGTTCACTATCTCTTTCTTAGGTCAGGTTGTGTTTTGTTTTGAGGAGGTGTTTTGTTTATTTGCTTGAATCGAAATCGCGTCAGGTAGAAGATATATAAACCGTTGTGTTGGCCGTACTTTCTCTGACTGAAACTGCAAAAGCTTCGAAAGCCAGAACAGAACCAGAAAGCAACAGAACGCGAGAGAATCGCGCAAAAAAAAAGTAAACGAGACGGCTCTCTGGCTATAAAGCTGCACAATGAAAGTGAAAACCACATCAAGAACGAGACTGAGAGAGAGAGAGCGACGCTGCTACAGAAAGAGAGAGGCATAGAGCGGGTGAAAGAGAGAGAGCGACTGCGTACGAGGAAGCTGGTTGAGAAGAATACAACAAGCAAAACATAAATAAACAAAAATAAATGCGAATGAGCCAGCCAAAAGCAAAAGACGCACCTTTTTTTTTTATTTTAATGCTTTTTTTGTGTTTTTTCTTATGGGGGGGTTAACAAATCCTGGACTGGGGCAGTTCGATGGGGGAGTTGTGGAGTTCCTTTTTTAGGGGTGGATGGGCTGGCTTTTTTTGGGGGTTGAAGTTTCGGCTTCAACTTCCGTGTTACGGTGCGTATGAGCAATGTGCGTGTGAAGAGATTTCCATGGGGTTGGGTTGCTTGGCTCTGGGTTAGGGCAGGGTTACGCATTGAGGTAGGTTCGGTCTGCCAGGAACGGATATTTGGATTTGGAGTGACTAGGGACTTTCCTAACTCTTAATAGTTTCCCACTCCACCTTATTTTCATAAACTTTTACTCTATTTACTTAATTATAGTTATGACTTTGACATTATTTGACAAAAAGTCAAGAGAAACACACAAGCCATGAGATGATGCATCATTCCCCGTCGATTCCGTGGCATTGGCCGGGCGGCATAGCCGGAAGCTTCCGCAAACGTCAGTGTCGGAGACCTCCAAAAAAAAAAAACAGAAAAAAAAAGTTCTACACGAGCACTACTATATACCAAATATACCGCTATTTACAAAACGAACAGTGCCGATGACATTCAATGGGGATGTGTGGGGTTGCGTGTGCATGGCAACACTCAATAGCTTACTAATCAACAAACAAAATGCAACCTCACAAGCTTGCAACCATGTGCAAGTGCACTTGAAAAATATCTAATAGAGTTCTAGACTCTTAATAAAAAACAAAGATAATCTATAAAAGATTTATAGAATAATTATTATAATCTTGAAACAAATAAATGATAATAAATATGCATATTGGCCCATTTTCTTGCTCTGTATGCAAATTCACACACATTGTCATCAGCGGAAAAAAAAAAATAAACACCCACCCGTACACACACATAGACAAAAAATGTATTGACCTTAACACTGAACGGTACTGTATATGTATTGCAAAATAAGAACTTGAAATAGAATAAATCGAGCGAGAGCGCCAAACAAATAGGAAGAGAGCCAGAGCGGATGTGAAGAGCGAGCACGTGTGTGTGTGTGTTCAAGTTCACCCACACCATCATGCGGCTAACAGAGCGTCTACATTGAGCAAGCAGCGCACTGTTATCGCCCTATGTCGACAGAAATCTCCCCTTTTGCTACGTTTTGGGGATCTCTCTGCATTTTTGTGGAGTTGGTGCAGGCATCGGTGGGGAGGTGGGCGGCGATTTGTGGGGGTGTGGTCCGCCTCTAATGAGGGTTGCAACTCCAGACGAAGTTTCGGTGCTGTGGAATGAGTCAGACAGTCGTGGCAGGGGGGCCAAAAGCAGCTTAATCAGGCAGAAGGACAAATAAGTTTTCAAGTTTGGTATTAATTTCAATAAAGTCACTTTTAATCTCATTGATTGTTTTTAAATAAGAGCTTTCAGACATTGTAACTGGGTTTTTTGAATATTTTGAATTAATTATTTCAATCCATACACTATTCACTTGCACTTAATAATTGAAAACTTTAGTTTTTAAAGATGGATGTTATAATATTTATGTTTATTTATTTTTTTAACCGCAATCCCGAGTTTTATTATTTATTTATTTAAATTAATTTTATAATCTTTAATTGTAAGTTAATATTTGTGAGAATATTTAATTTTAAAAAACACCAATCTTCTTAAATTTGTATTTTCATAAAGTGGCACACCAAGCTCACAGCTCACACAACACTCTTGATGCTTCAGGCATTATTTACATACAAAGTATCTATTAATCCACAAGACACTCTTCTGAATCTGCATCTGCATCCAAGAGATTGCACTTTGATCGACCAAAGTCGCGATTCGAATTAAAAGTAAGCAAACGAAAGTTAACCGCTAAACCAACCGATTGGTAAGACGATTGCGCATCCGAGCCAAGTCTATAGGAAGAAGAAGAGCTGCCAGAGCGAGACAGAAGACGGAACGCTGCGGTGCGTTCCACATGACGTCGTTCTACAAAATGACAGAGCCTGAAAATTTGCAAAAGTGAAAAATTCTACTTTCAATATGAAAACGAGCAGAGACGCTAACGTCGACGCTGACGTCGACAGCGCTGCCGGGGCGGGAGTTGTGCATGCAGAGGCGAAGTAGTACCACAGTTGCAGAAAACGCAGCCCACTGTGGGTGTGGGTAAGGTAGGTCGTGGTATGGGAATGTACGATGGGAGAGTACTTCAAGAGAGAGAGAGCGAAAGCTGAGCGAGAAAGCAGAACATGCAGGCTTGAGAACGAACATGAGCGGCGGCGGCGAATGCAGAAAACATAGCATAGCCCAGAGAAGTCAATGTACAAAGCACATTGGGGGTGCAATGGACATGCTAGCATAAAGCTACAGTGGGTACTGGTATTGAAAGAACAGAAATATTTATTTAAAAAAAAGGATAGAATATGATATCAAGTATACAGTGGCGAGCAAAATTGAGTGTATGTTCACGACTCAGACTTTCGTCACCCATAAATTCATATTCACACAACCAAATCCAAAAATTTTTTTTGTTTTCTATTAATTATTTTATTCTTAATAAATTCTGAGCAAAAACAATGATGATAAAGATGAATTCGAGGAGAGATAAATTAAAAACGAAAAAAAACCACATAAACTCAATTTTGCACGTTTCAAAGAGTTTTAATTTCCAAAATAATATTAATATTTTGTCCAAAGAAATTTATTTGATATGACTTCCTGCACGCGGCCAGGCATGTTATCTACCAAAATTTCTCTTACATCTTTAGGAAAGCGTATCCATTCAGCTACAACACGCTCCCAACGGTTGCCCCTGTTTGATGCACCTGTTTCGTACTGCCTGAGCCGTCTTTTCATGATTGACCAAAGATTTTCAATCGGATTGAGGTCGGGACTTTGTTCCGGGGTTTCATTTAATTTCTAAGGTTCCCTTCCAAACCATTCCTTAACAATTTTCGAAGTGTACTTCGGATCCCCATCTTGTTGAAAAACCATTTCTTTTCGGAATAAGCACATTTTTCAATAAAATTGGGAAGATTGGTCTGCAAGTTTTTTAGGTAGTCCTCTTTCTAACACCTTCTATTAATTGTAGAGGGCCAAAATGCCACCATGTGAAGCATCCCCAAACCATAATACCACCACCCCCATGTCTTACAGTTTCTTTTACATGGTGTCTTTGGATTCGATCTCCGGGTCTACGCCAGCAATATTGCTTTCTGTCAGACTGAAAAGGGTAAAATTTAGACTCGTCAGACCAGATAACACGTTGAATCGTCAACGGTCCAATTTTTGTGTGCCCTTGCAAATTTCAATCGCGCTGTAATATTTTTATCGGATAATGCAGGTTTGTTTGTGTTTCACACTTGCAATATATCCGATGTGTCGCAGTGTTTTTCTAGCAGTCCATTCGCTAACATTCTTGATGATAGCCAAAGAAGCATCCTTTAGTGTTAGGAGCTTGTTCCTTCTCATTTCGGACATTTTTTATTGAAAAATGTGCTTATTGTGAAAAGAAATGGTTTTTCAACAAGATGGGGATCCGAAGTACACTTCGAAAATTGTTAAGGAATGGTTTGGAAGGGAACCTTAGAAATTAAATGAAACCCCGGAACAAAGTCCCGACCTCAATCCGATTGAAAATCTTTGGTCAATCATGAAAAGACGGCTCAGGCAGTACGAAACAGGTGCATCAAACAGGGGCAACCGTTGGGAGCGTGTTGTAGCTGAATGGATACGCTTTCCTAAAGATGTAAGAGAAATTTTGGTAGATAACATGCCTGGCCGCGTGCAGGAAGTCATATCAAATAAATTTCTTTGGACAAAATATTAATATTATTTTGGAAATTAAAACTCTTTGAAACGTGCAAAATTGAGTTTATGTGGTTTTTTTTCGTTTTTAATTTATCTCTCCTCGAATTCATCTTTATCATCATTGTTTTTGCTCAGAATTTATTAAGAATAAAATAATTAATAGAAAACAAAAAAAATTTTTGGATTTGGTTGTGTGAATATGAATTTATGGGTGACGAAAGTCTGAGTCGTGAACATACACTCAATTTTGCTCGCCACTGTACGTAGTTATCAAGTTTAATTCTAAAGATTCTTCTAATTCTTCTCTATAGTTCTCTTCTCTATAGATCACTGTCCTGCCAAACTTCAAGTCCTGCAGATTCCCTCTCTCCCCTTGGGCAGGAGTTGTTTGGCCCTTTTGTGTCCTTCCTTTTGGGGGTTGTTAAGTTTTTGGCATTCCGGGAGTTGTCGTAGCACAGAAATTAAAAATAATTGCAAAAAGTCGCCGAGTGGGTGGATTTCTACGCTTTCCAGATTCTCGGTTTCTCGGTTTTGCTGACTGTCTGTCTGGAGTTGCAACCCCTCCGGGCAACGAAACGAAAGCAAACTTCAGACTCTTCAGCTTTCGAAGGGGGTGTGGATGGCAAGTGTGTCCTTTGAATGGAGTACGAGGACATCAGGGGGTTTCCTAGACACTCGCCTGAGCTACATTTTGTTTTGGTAAGGTAGGGCAGGGGCTAAAGATACCACATTTCCATCAGTTAGAGGGGGGTCTGTTGTGGAAACGCCTTGAGCTTGGGTTTTAGCCAACTTCAAGGGTTGCACTCTAATGGAGTTGGCTTCCTTTGTCTTTATGTCTCAGTGGGGGAAGTTTTAATGAAATAGAGCCCTGTAACCTTGATTTTATTATTTGATTTTTAAGTTTAAAGAATATTAAAATGTTTAATTAATATTTAAAGAGGATATCTTCATTAAGCTGCCTTAGTTTATTTCCTAGAGATCCCCTTTCCCTATTGAGGACCTCGACAACCAGCAAGGCTATCGCATTGAGTCACTGGCATTGACAGAATCTATGGTGCAGATATATGGCCATGCCCGCCTGCATTTGGGGCGCGTCTCTGGCCAAATATCATGGTCAATGACAGCGCCGTGAAATTTGCAACTAGCGGCACGTGGCAGGGGCATCCAGACGCCACCCTCGATCCTGTTAGGTAGGGGATATATCCCACCCACCTTGCCCCACTCCAAGGTCCACTGCATATCCTTCGTCCTTCTCTCCGTCTCTCAATCTGTCTCTCTCTCTTTTTGCAAGCCATAGTCCTGCACAAAAAGAGAATAGGTGCAAGGCGCATGTTTGAGAGCTGCAACGTTGCACATGCCAAGCGGCTGCACGAAGGTTAAAAGCGTTTTCAGGGGCACTACGACACGGCACTACGAGAAGCAGAATATTACAACTGCACCACCCGGCGAGGACCCAACACCAAGGACCAAGGGCAAGGACACGCAGGCATGCGCATTTCCGCATTCGAAGTCGGGTCCTTGGCTTCGAGTCCGACGATTGTTCGGATCCTTGGCAGCGAGCCCCTCATTGCCAAGGTCCAGGATGTGGGGTGTCAGTGTTGGCACTGAGAGGATTTAATCATTTATTAATTTATATTTTATTATTTAATTTAATAAATGTTATACCTATTATCCTTATTAGTACTAATTTGTTAGGAATCTATAAGATATATTATGTGCCATCTCTGAAGGATTCTGTTTGATGATGCAGACGCCAAACTTCTGCAAATGACATTGAGTGGGTGGCAGACAGACCCCGGGAGGGGGAGTGGGTGGCAGATTAATTTCAGGGCTCTATCCTTCACCGTCTGCGTGTTGCTTTGCATTTCCTTTAGTGGTTTGTTTAACTATATTCGTCCACTGCAGTTGCAAGGATATTTGTTGCACACGTGTCGCCCCAAACTGAATCTAGCATTGAAATTGGCTGGCGAGGGTCACCAAAAGGTCAGAAATAGAAATGCATCCTTGCCCAGAAATAGATTAAGATGTGGCAAGGACAATATTTATTCGTATATTTGATATATGGTAATTAAGAAGTAATTTAATATGATTTTACTTGATATATAAAGCAAGTCCTTGTGTCTCTGTCATTGTCCTTTTTAGATATTTTTAAATTAATGGAAAGATTTTCCAAAGACCAGCAGACCAGACAAATGCAAGACCCAAAAATGCCAATTAGACGACTGAATATTTACATACCATTCCTATTCCGATTTCGATTTCGGAGATCAACGGTTATAGTATTCTGGCCCCAAGACAATTATTGGGTCAATGTGCGTGCAGTGAACTGATTTGGCCAAAAAGCCAGGCCCGCCTAAGTGGCCAAAAGTGTGCTGGGGCCATAAGTCAGTCGCCTTCGGAGAGTTCATTGAAACTAATTTTCATCGGGACACTGTCTCCGCACCAGGACATCCAGAAGGATGGTGGGCAGGCCGGGGTGGTAGGCAGAGTCGGGCATTTTATTTATGGCTGAGGAGCCAGCCATCGGTCGATGACTCAGTTGGAATATTTGGGTCTCTCTCCAAAAACTGGCGAAAAGTTCATCCACTTTTGCTTCTTATCCATGCTTATCCTGTCGATATCCCTTAATGTTTTGGGTATATAGACCCCAGAGTAGGATAAACTTTTAATAGAAGTTTTATAAAATATTTTTAAGTTTAAGATTTTATAAAATCCATCTTTCAAACAGTTCTAAAAAATCCAAATCAATATACAATTTTTTTTGTAGGGTATCAGCTCTTTGAAACTATTTCCTTAGTTATCCCTATTGCAGCCTGTTTTATTATTCTATCCTGCAACCCGAAAGGTGAATCATTGTTCCATAAACTCCGTGTGCTCAGCTCCCTAATACCACCCGCCCACCTGATGAGTAAGCCAGGGAATTTGGGACCGAAAGTTGTTGAGCCTCCTCCAGGTCCCATGTCCTGTGTCCATTGCACCTGACACGCACTCCGGGATGAAGCGGAATTCGCATGATTCTATATGAGGTAGGGGGTTCGAGGGTTCAGCCACAAGGTTCAAAGTTCGTGTGGCTGTGTCGGCATTAGTCATATTTTTGTGGGCTGGCAGGATTGCCATACGACAAGGACTTGTGGAATTATATCCTGACGTGCGTGTTAGTGTGCTGGTTAGACACAAATTAAACCTTTTAGATGTGAAATGTGATTTCTTCGGTTAAGAAATATACTTTTGTTTTGAATGGCAACTTTTTATTTTATTTTGAAACAATTTTAAACAAATATTTTTAAAAACTTTAAATTTTTGTCTCTTTTTAAAGAAATTATTTGGTGATTTGGTAGGTGTGGAAGCTATAAAAATTAATTAAGATTTAAAATAAATATAGGTATATATTATAAGGTCCATATACTCACCAATAAACTTAAATTATAGAGCTCGGGTTCGTTGTGTGATACAAGTTCGAAGGGCTTTTCTGCAGAAAATCCATTTTCATTAAGGATTCTCAGAAGCGCTCTCAGAAATCTCTCCCTTTCTAGGTCGAAATGCTCTAGTCCCCAAGTGAAATATGTTAGGTTTTTGGCAAATTTAATGAAATCCAGAAACTGGAAAGCTGTTATCGACTGGTTGTTGCGATTAACTTCAAGTCTCTCCAAGGTCTTGACATGACTGGCCAGGAAACTGTGAATAACTCCGTTCCGGTGTAAGCGGCATTTACTGATTAGGAATATCTTGATCTTAGGGCATAGTGGGATTTCGCCAGATATTTTACAATCCTTGATGTGCAGTTCCTCCAAGGAGGGCCAGGTCGTTGAAGGCCCAGTCCCCAACGTTCTAAAGTGCACATTTAATAGGTTGAGAGTGCGCAGATTTTTCAGGGGAGTACATATTTCGGTAATATTTATACTGTAGTTCCACAAGTGCTTCCGAGTGTTGATTGTCAACTCCTCCAGTCTCTTTAATTTCTTTATATCGTATACTAATATATAGAGATTTTTTAAAAATTATAATAGTGTCCTTAGGAATAGTTTCAATATTACCTTCTCCTTCATCACTGGGCACATAGGTTAATTTTCTTAGATTCGGAGCTGCCAACAGGCTACTCACGATAGAAGGATAAAACTTATAAGGAACATGTATCTCAACCGATTTGAGACGATCCATAATTCGAAACAGAAACGTCTGTATACTCTGATCGTGTTTGTCTTTAACATAACAACATAGGGTTTCCAAACGGGGACAGTACTCGGCAATCAGTTTCCCCACCTCAGGATCCCATTTCATCGAAGTGGTCAAGCTTTTCACATTCCTGCCGCAATGCTTCAGAAGGATCGACCAGGATTCAAAGCTCAGGTAGCTCCAGGGCCGGATCTCCTCAAACAGATGACGACTGTGGTAGGCAAAGGCATGCTCCAGAACCGGGTGGGCCAGCGCCAAGTTGAGCTTTTCGTGGTGCTTTCGCAGCTGATTGAAGATCAAGTCCAGTACCTCCAGGGGCAAATCGACGATAGTCCGTTGTTTCTCCATATCAGAGCTTTTGCCTCCGAGAGCAAAAAACACACTGAGCGCTGTTTTGGCAAACGGCTCAATATTATTTTCGAAGAGAGAGAGCGAGAAGCCGCGAAGAGCCAGCTTGGAAGTTCGCCAACATCGGTTCATGACATTCTCTCACCCTATAGCTTTTTAAGGCATGTGATGATGAAATACTTTACGTAATTGGCATCCCGTCAGATAAAATATATTATTTATAGACTTGACTTTAGTTCTAAGCCTCTCTTTCAACTAGCTTTTAATAGTAACTTAGTCCCATACTAGAAAAGCTTTTGGCATCCATCCCTTGCTGAGAACCTCACAACCCCTTGGACTCTATTTTCTTCCCCCATTTTTTCGAAACACACCATATTTCGGGCCCAGACAGTTGGCCTTCTTCTCTAACCAAAGCTTTCGCTAAATTGTAATGTTGCAACTGCAGCGAGGAGGGTTGGCTGACACTTTTGATGCCGCCGCGTGATAAGCACGGACCAGATGAGCCGGTGACGCAATGCGATGCGGCGGGATTGGAGGTCAATAAACCAAGCAGAATTTTGCCTGGAAAGGGGTCGAGGATTACGCAAAAAATGAAGGGTTGCAAGCTTTCACAGGAGAGGGTACTTAACGAGAATAAATAAATGTTATAAAATATAATAGGGTTTATAATGGAAATGAAGCTTTTTAATAATTTTTAGGAGTTTAGTTTTATTTAAGGATATCTACCTCATATTCTTGTAAAACAACACCTGTTCCCAGGGGTTTTTCTTTCCTTTCTTTTTCCTGCCCCCACGAACAGGTCCTGTCACCAAGTTTCCTGCAGGATAATTTGTCATTGGAGGGCAGTGGCAATTGCAACCCAAAAAAAGGGTTGCATTTTAGCAACTCTGAACTGTGACTCACCTCACCTAGATTCCTCTGCGGAAATGGAGTGGAAATGAGGGCCACTACCAAGGAGGGCTATGTTGCACAATAGGCTGGCTGACTGGCTGGCTCAAGTGTCTCTTGGCACTTGCAACTTTCTCCAGTATTAGCGCACACTCTCTCTCCATCGCTCCAGAACTTTCCCTATGACGGAGTCGGTCTGGATGGATGGTTGGAAGGAAGGAAGAAAGAAAACTCGCCCAGCCGGTTTTCTTGGTTTCTTGGGTAATCTGTCTAAACAAATATTGCATGGCCAGGTGAGTGCAACTAGTTTTTCCAGCAAACGAGGGAAAAACTTGCAATGGCAATGACCCAACCAGGCTTAGCCTTGAATCTGCTGCAAGTGGAAAACCAGTTGGTGGAAACTATAAAAAATGTTAATATCAAATTTTTAATATAAGAAGGATTAAAGGAGAAACTAACCTAAGACAGAGTACAAGTCCCTGCCCTTGGTCAAGTCCGAAGCGATTGATGCCAGACAAGCTTCCAAATTACTATTAAACGATGCAATTTCATGTTGGCATCTTTATGGGGCCCTTGTCTCGACGCGATGACGCCAAATGAGTCCCCAACTCCACTCCCAAGCCCAACCCCCAACCACCTCCTGGCGCATTGATAAGAAAACTTTTACTTTACTAAGAGGTGGGAGGAGGGGGGAGTAGAATTTTCTAGTTTTCACTTGTCACACAGAGAAAAGGTGGGAGTGGGATTGGGAGTTTGAGTTTGGCTTTCGGCTGGCTCCTTGTTTCTGGGTGCGGCACTTTCTAATACCCTGGCAGTGTGGGGGCGCCATCAAATGAGTCAACAACAAAAGTGCAAATACGCCAAAGGGCGGCCAGGGCCATGAAAAGAGAGATAGATATACAGGCCAAAGGGAAAGATAGAGGGTGGTGGATTGAGGGGGAAATGCAGTAGTCAAGCAGGCAGCAGGAGCCAAGAACCGACGCCTCGGAAAAGCAAGCGGTATGGGTAGGTCAACCACCAGACATTGAACCCAGAACCACCTCACTCACACACTCGTAGTACGGGAACAGCCCAGCAGCGAACTTCCGTTGAGAGCCAGGCTGAAGAAAGAGACAGGCGAACGTGAGCGAAAGGGAGGCAACGACAACACAAGAAAGCATGCAACGAGCAGCACGTGAATTAAGCCACATACAACAGATAGAGAAGGAATGAATGGAGAAAGAGATGGGGAGCTTGAGAGGGCAATGTCTGCCTTGGGGAGCGACAGAGAACACAAGAAATGCTAGGCTTTGGCCGAATATGGTGATACCCTAATAAAAACTTACATTTTTGAAGGATAATTTAGGGTTAGGATGACTTGGTTTTTAATTAACTTCTTCAAGGAATTTAAAACTTTACAAAACTCCTTGAAATTTTGTATTTATTTATAATAATTCGTATGGAGACACCCTTTTTTAGGGTATTTCATAGAGTAGGGGAACCCCAACAACATCGTCCGTTGCCTAGCGTCATCATCGTCATCATCATCGTCGCATTTCGCAATTCGCAGCTCGCATTGTGAGCTAGTTTAGTGGGTTGAGTGACACAGACACAGTTTGCCGGGCATGGCAGAGGGAAATGTGGTGCAAGGGGGTGTTGTTGGTATGTGGTTGAAGGCCGGAGGACGGGGGGCCAAAAGGGGTGGCCAACAATCCAGTTGCAGTGGCAGAGTCGGAGGTGATGTTGCGATTTTGTAATCGCAGGCCAAGTGGCCAGGCATTGCGTTGCCAGATAAATGGAATTTCAAGTTTTTGAAAATGTTTTTCAAAACTTTTAAGTTTTTTTTTTTTAATTTTTGAAAACATTTTACAAAAATTATATATTTTCAAGAACCTGTTATCCTTATATTTAATAATTTCTTTGTTATATTAATAAATACTAATACTGATTATAAATACTAATCGCATACTAATAGAAAATAACTTAAAAGTGAGTTTTGAATATCTTAGGATCATTATCAAAAAATTTATGAAATATTACGTATACGTAATATTTTTCAAAGTAAATGAAACTACAAAGACCACACACTTTTTTGTCATATGATGTTTTTTCTAATATTATTAATAATAAATTACATATTTTTCTTAGCTTTTTTTACTTTTTTCTTATTTTAAAAAAAAGGAAACAGCAAAAAATAAGTTCTGGCAACTCACTTAACTCAGACCTTATAAAATATTAACGAAAACGACGAAAAGCGTGCATGCAGAAAATAAAAAATGCAAAGCCAGAAAGAAAAACTCCCCAAACAAGGCGACTGCAGCACTCTTGTCGCTTCTCCCCTCTCTTTCCTTTGCGAATTTTTCCATCTCTTTCCATCGCTGTCTCCATTTTCATCGCCCATTCCAGAAACCAACTAGAAACTCCCCATCATCATACCTCCTCCCTCCGCAATGGAGTTATGTTTTGGGATGTGGACTATACCACTAGGATGGATGGATAACACATACACACACACACTGACACGAAGCTTTCCCTGCCGGTTTCTATGTGTTTGTGTGTCTGTGTGTGCAACTGCAACTGTATATGTGTGTGAGACGAAGCGAATCGAGTCGAGAGTAGAGTAGGACAAAAGGGAGACACAATTTTGGTAGCAATGACCTTCACCGCGTTGTTCAAGTTGCCGTTGTTGTTGTTGTCGTTGCTGCCACAGCTCCACACACACACCAACACACACATAGAGAAGCAGGAAAAGCAGTGCAAAAACAGATGCAGATAAAAAGAGAGAGAGAATGAGAAAGGTTGTGGGCGGTGGGGATGAGGGGCGGTGGAATAAATGATGCATGAGTGCAGATGGTTGAGTATTCCCTGTTAATGGGGGAGTTTGGGTGGGGGGGTGATTGGGTGGCTTCGCCGCTAGGTGCCTCTTTTTTTGCCTTTTCTCGCTCTTTCTGGTATCCTTTCCCTGACACCCCCACCACCACTTTTCACTGCACAAATTAAACGTACAAAAGATAAAAGTGCTTTTGTGCTGCCATTGAAAATGGAGTTGTGTGCAAAGGATGAGGGGCGGACCCAAGGGTGGGGGGGAGTGCTGAACCTAGCGTAAACTTGACACTGACGTTGTATGCACTCCTCCGCCCCAACTCTCCTACTTTTTTCCCCTAATTTTTTTCCCCCAAGGGTGCGGCCTGTCGTTTTTTGTTTTTCATTCTTTTCTTTTCAGTCGAGTCTTTGCTTTATTTTTTATTTTTTGCTAGCTACTTTTTTTTTTTTATTTTCCCTGGTTTTTTTTTTGTGAAAATTGCTCAAGTGCGACACAGACATGGGGTATCGGAAGAGGGGTTTGGGGGCTGGGTATTTAACTTTTGGTATCATTGACCTGGAGTTCTCGGGAGTTCCATAAGCTGGCAAAAGCTGCATGGTGAAAACTTTATTATACTTTTTAGGAGTTTGAAATACAATAACAAAATTTTACAAACTTTATCCATGTATATAATATTTTAGAAATTTTAAAACATTAAAAATACCGTATAAGTAGGAGTTTTTAAAGCCTAAATATCTATTTTTAGGGTTCTGCATTCTAAAAACTGTCCATTGTTTTTCAGAAATCGAACCTTAATAATATTTATAAATTTTAATTTTTGTTTTTTTAACTGTATAACAAAGGAGCAATGTTGAAGTTGGCAGTTGGCCTGATGGTTACTCATTTTCGACGCCATTTTGGAAAATTTGTCGCAACTGCATACACATACAGCACACAATCATACATATATCCCTGCACATGGACAAAAGGGATATATGTACATATATTTGAGTAAACATATACACACATATTTGCAGTTGAGCTCTATGTGTCGCCCACTTTACAATAGGTTAGTCTGTTATTGTTCTGTCTGTGAGGATTAAAATATAGAGGCAGACATGTGTGTGTGCAGTATCTTCGTATATGTATCTGTATCTCCACGTATGTATGACAGAAAGTTTTCGCTTTTCGTTGATTTTCATTTTAATTGTGGTGTCCCTTTTTATTTTAATTTTCTTTTTTTTTCATCCGGAGAGTTTACTCATCAGCTAGTTGGAGTGTCATGTGGGGAAAGTCCTGGAGTGGATAATTAACCATGAGATGGAAGGACTTCAAGATAAAATGAAGTTGGTGGAGGATATTAAATTAATAGAATTTAAAGTCAATTAGTTTTTCCCTAGTAACTCTATTGGAAAAAAAAACCTTTCAAATAGCATTTTAAATATTCCCCATCTACAATCCATCAATTTGCAATTCAAACTTGTTTTCCACAGTTACTGCTATCGGAGTGCAAATCTCAGCTGTCCATTATCGTGCGTTGGGCATCTGTTTGCCCCAAACAAACCACCTTGCCCCACCGGTGCACCATCACCACCGTCACCAGATGGCTACGCAAATGGTGCACTCAATGGACTAGGCCAATTAAAAATCCAGTTCAAGCTCAGATCAGTGCATGGACACGAGTGTCCTCGTGAAATGGGTTGGATGGAGGGCAAATAGAAGACCCTGGACACACAATAGAAGCCTGTCAATGCATAAGGCATCACAAAAATGGGCTTCAAAGCAGGTAGGTAGGTATACAGTAGAAAAGGTATAAAGTAGAATAAAATAATTTTTAAAAGACAAAAAATAGATAATAGATAAAAAAAAGTATAATATTTTAACAATATGATTTATAATTTACCCTAAATCATCAATATTTTTAAAAATAAATGTTAAACTATTAAAATAATAAACAAAAATGTATAATATTATAATTACCTCTAATTCTCCAAAGCCTATACATCGTAATCCCCTCTGTGATGTGTGGAACCAATGCCATCTGTTGTCCCTCCATTCCTCTCCTGTTAACGATGATGAATGCCAGACCAGTTTGGACTTCATGGAGGCCACTACATAGAGGGCGGGAGACTAGGGCCAGGGGCACCCAAGGTGGTGTTGCAAGAAGCCGCTGCACCGAGAAGCACCGAGAATGCCATGGCCAATGCCACCGATGGTGCAGTGTCAGTGTCAATGCCAGCAGACCCGAGTCGAGTCGAAACTGGGTGAGAGTGTGGGCGGGGAGGGTGGCTGGGAGTCTAAAGTGGCAGAAGTGGAGGCGGAGGGGGCAGAAACCACCTCGTTGCTGTGGAATGCAACAAAGGCAACAGCCACGATTTCAATTCCAGCGATTATAACATCGGCTAGCGACTCGAGGGGCCATTAGCCTGGCTTTGGGAGTCGAGAGAACTCTACGGTAACTCTCTCTTTCTCTTTCTCTTGGTCACTCTCTCTCTCTCTTTCTGTGTGTCAGACTCTTGGGTCTCCGTTCCCGGCCCCCTTCGAAGCACTTCTCTAGTCTTTTCTCTAGCGATGACGCCTGCGCTTAGCTTGCAGTTTCAATGACCGGGAAGTTTCAGGTTTGAGCTATTCAAGGTGGAAGATTTGGTAAGGTTTTAGGCCAAAAATCAAAAGATCATAAATGAAAATAATTTTGATTTTCAATTAAAAATTTATTTTTTCTATAAAGGACCTTTAGCGTACTACTCAAGTGGAGTTAGAGGTTGCAGGAGGTAGTACTCCTTCAAGGGCTTTATCAACTACTTCGATGTGAAAGTGGTCATTGGATTCTATTGGACCTATGGAACAAAGACTGAGCAAAATCTGAAGTTGGCTGGAAAGGCTTAGACTGGGACTTGATGATTGAAAAGTTACCCACAAATTATGCGAAGAAAAGGCAAAACGTGTTCGGCTCTCACTACTAGGCATTAAGTCAACTTAAGAATCCGGGAACTTAGCTGGTAACTGAGAACCAGCAACCGGCAACTGGGATTGGGACTAGAAACCGCATTCAACGTTCGTCGACCTTGCAACTCGTTCTTTGTGCACATTATAATGTTTATTTATTTTTCGTTTTTTTTTTCCAACCGATAGGCAAAGGCAACTGCCCACAAGGAAACAGTGGAAAGGTGCGGTGCGTTGTTGTTGTTTCGATGATAGCATCGTCGCCGGTTCTAGCTTGGATGGTCATTGAACTGGACATTACTCTTCCAAAGCCATGTACACCCACACCAACCCAAAAAAAAAAAAATAACGAACAAAAAGCGAGCCGGAAAACTTCAACAGCCGAAAATACGTATCCTGGTAGCATAAGTCGTCGCACTTCATTTCCCTTTCTACCACTGTCTGGCCTCGGTTCTTTTTCCTGTTTGCTAGCCTTTTCGGGTACAGTTTGCCCCATCGACAGATATTTATTCCTGCCAACTGCCAACTGTCTGCTGGCACTGACTCCAGCCCCCGACTCGGCACGAAACTCCGGTTTCTACTGCTCCACTACCCCAAAGCTTCGAAAAAGAAATGTTTTCGACAAGCGCCATGTTTGTGTGAGTTGGGAAAGGAAAATGGGAAATGGTGGAGAGTGTAGATTACAAAAAGAATATGGAGTTTCCAATTGGTTATATATAATATAAGGAGAAATTCTTAACTTTCAAAAAATTTCAAAGAGGGTCTTAGTTGTATGATCATTTTTTGTTGCCTACTTTTGGGGTTAAGGTGAAATATGTTCTATTATTTTATTAAAATATGAAATTAGTATAAAATTACGGGTATATTAATTGTAAAAATATTATAGATCTATAGAAAAAATATAAAAGAATAAACCTAAATAGTTTAAAAAGTTCACCTGAAGGATCATTTAAGAGTTTTACTAACAGGTAGTTAGCCATAAGGATATATCAACGAACTGTAATATTTAACTTTCATTTTTAGTTAATATCTTATACTATTTTTAAACTCAAGTGTAAAATTAAATGTTTATCAGATTCAGTTGGAGAAGAAAATTGGTTTATCAAGAAAAAAATCAGATTTATGGCCCTGTAGAAAGAATTCCAACTCAGCTCCCCATAAAAAAAAATCCCGACAAGGAGTTGCAACCTACAGCTGCTGAGTTAGCACAACCCCTGCCCCCCTTCTCACATCATTTTTAAAAAGAGTCTGAATGAGTAAAAGAGATGAAGTGCTACAAGGAGAGAGATGGAAGTCGGTATAAAAACCGAAAAAGCATTTCGTCGTTTTTAGCCGGCACGAACAGATCAATGACCTGCATTTCACAGCCTGAGACACAATTCAATCGATAAAAGTGAAGAGTTGGGGCACCAGCACACACAGACACTGCACCATCAGACACACACACACACACTGACACTGACACAAACACCGACTGCCGACTACCATGGAAAAAACAATATGGCGAACGTGAAATATGCAAGCTTCCTGCAGGAAAAGCCAAAATGGCAGACAGCATGCGGCGAACGTGACGCAGTGCAGACACAGGGCGGTGTAAAGCAAAGGGGGGGCACAATGGAGTTGAGTGCTCCAGGGGTGGCTGCAGCAGCACTGGAACTTTCTAAAATTTCTAGACCAGGAGAAGAGAAACAGGAAAAGCCGGGCGGGAGAAGGCGTCGCTCAAATTGCAAACCAACAAAAAAATGTGGAGCGAGAGTGTAGCCCGAATATTTTATTCCATTCAATCAAATCGAGGAAGCCAGAGGCCAAAAAGGCTGATTAAAATTTCAACAAAATTTAGGGGAGGTGGGGTGGGTGGAAAACCAACTATCCTGGCCAACATCCAACAGGGTTCCCAGACAAAGACCTGCCCGTCTCCCGGACGTACATACATAACCGAATGCAGCGAAGCGTTGAAATAAAAGCAAAAATACAAATTCCCATTAGCAACAACCCCCAACAAACACTCAATCCATTGTTTGTTGTCTTAGCCACCTAGCTACCCAGGATTCGCAATGAATTGACCAAAATATAGGCAAAGGTAAGAGCCATCTTCCTTAGGAACTTCCTAGATCTTTGAGGGTTGTTGCTGTTTTGAAGATCCAATTGATGGCGTTTTTTGGTAATTAATTGTATAATTGAAAGTCCTAGGAATGGTGTTAGACTTACCTATTTTTAATTGTTTTTTTATTTTAGGAATTATCTGGAACATGGCCATAAAGAATGTATACGAATATCACAGCGCAGAGACACACCAAGTAGACGCAAATAAAGCCAAAACATATGTACAGGCAGGCTATTAAGAGTTTCAAAATCATAACTAAAGATTTAGCAATTTTGGAAGATTAAATTTATATATAGACAGAAATAAAAACTTAAATTAATTTTGACATTGTTTTGGTTAAAAGTTCTCTGCAATATGTATATATTTAAGTGATTAGTTTTGACAGATACCTATCGATATTTGGCAAAGATTTCCACCATAAAAGGGTTGAAGTATAGTTTTGTACCATATTTTAAAATATTTGTACTTGTAATTTGAAACATTTATCATACCACCCATGGACTCAGAGTGGCAAGTCAATTAGCCTTACTAACATACTCCCACGCCACATTTTTTTTCGGCTCCTGGATTTCTGGTGTTGTTGCATTTGTTGATTTTGATGTTGCCTCTGGAGTTGTGCTCTGAAACGAAAACTGCAGCGAAAGTCTGGGCTGGGAAAAAGCGAAATTTTTTGCAGTCGAAAAGTGCAGCCCTGCAAAATAGGAGTTATCCTGGCTCTCGCCATCTGTCTCTCCCAGGACATTCTCAGCTATCTCTGTCTGTTCGCCACCATCCGTCTCTGTCGCTTGCAGACACAGACGGTATTGGGCTGGACTGGAGTTTTGGCCAGGACTGGAGTTTGGGCTTCTACTGTCTGGGCAACCCAAAAAAAAAACCTTCCCCGGAGTTTCCATGACAAGCAACCGATATTCCAGGGTCCAGACAGTCGGGGTGTTGGCAAATCCTGGGCTATCCATATATGTACTCCCCCCGAAGCGCAATGGGTCAGTGTAAAATTATTTTGACAACCAAAAAACAAAAGTTGCTAAAGACAGTAGGTTTGTTGGGAGTTGATTGATTAAGGGTGGTAATTGGAAAATGATTTTTATTTTTTTGATTTAAATACCGAAATATGTTTAAAAGCTAATACATATTTAAAAAATAAATACAGTTCATGTCCTTTGTTGGGTAACAACTGTCGGTGGGAGAATGCCGAAATAGCCATTTCCCATATAGATCTGTGGAAAGGCGGGTTCACTGCCGTCAGGATTGGACTTCCAGGATATTGTCAGGCAAGGTTCCCCCGCTTTTGGAGCACTGGGCACTGAAATCTGATAATTTTTGGCTTCCTCGGGTCTTATATTATGTTTAATGAAGAACACTGGGCGCTGCACTGTCTGTACTTGTGGCTGTTGCTGTTGATTCACTAAAAAATTAACCATAGCCGAAGAGGATTAAAATGTCAAAGTTTTAGATCAGAATTCCACACTTACATAGCTGACCCCACGCGCAGGCAATCAGCAACGAATAGAACGCCAGAAACTTGTGCAACGCCACTGATTTCATAATTTATTTAAAATGTAGTCTATGTGTGGAAATATAAACAAATACTGTTGTTGTGGTCTGGCTATACTAGATGCAGCAGTTCGATTCGAAATTATCTCCTGATGGCGGCGACGTCTTTACTCAAAGCGATCTCAGCTAGAACTGCTCGATCGGCGGAGAGCACCCCAATTCTGGGGCTATCCTATCGCATCTTCCACTACTATTTGCCAGGTATCATTTTCTTATCAATTTAGTTACTTTCTGAATGAATCAAATCTATTTGTAAACAAAGCCGAGCTCAAAAGCCTTAATCTCAGATTGCTGAGAGTCAGCTGATAAAGAGTTTCTTGGCCCACTGAGAACAAAGAAAGAGTCTGCAAAGCCACTTGATGGGTTCATTGTTTTCTTAAAAAATAAAATATTAAGAAATTGTTTTACATTTTCTGTTTAAGACTGAAATATATTGAAATCGTTCTTATCATTATGAACCGCATTTAAATTTTTTATGTAAGGAAGCAGTTTTGTAAAAATACATGTAGATAAATTGTACATTCTATACTACATGAGCTACATTCCTACACTGCTTGCGGTATGCTTGTGTGAACTGCTTTAATTCAGCGCCATTTGTAAACAAAACAAGATGGGAAAGCTTACTTTGGTCAGAGCCGAAGTTGATATACCCTTGCAGTTAAGCGGCAGTTTATATTATAAAATAATATCGGATGGTAAAAAAACAAATAGCAACAAAAACTTGTTACAAAAAACTAAAAAAAAAAATGTTATAACAAAAATTACCTCATAAAACATATACAACAATAATTAACTACAACAACAAGCAACACCCAAAATGGCAATGAAAACAACAACAAAAATTAACAGAATTTACAAAAAAAAAAATTAAATATTTTTCCGATTTTTCGGGCTTGCTTAGGTGCAACCTATGAGAATCGAGGAGGAGGGCGCTATTTTTAAAAAAATTATTTTTAAAAATTTTATTAAATTGTGACCAAATTAAAGCATCTTCTGGAATGTTGTCATAGGCAAACAAACGGTAAAATTTTACTTTTCATTACAATTTGACTTGTAAGAGCCCTTAAAGGTAGGCAATGAAAATATGAGTGTTTACATTTTCAGATTTTTAAATTTATAAAAATACATGTTTTTCTTTAGAAATTAGGGACTTTAGGGTGTTATGTCCTTCAGATGTGTCCTTCAATTCATTGCGCACCTGTGCCCAAAATTATAATACCCACTGCAAGGATAATATTCCGCATTTGTAATCCAATAATTTATATTCTCAATTAATATTTAGTTTTTGTTTTGCCTTTTATTTAATATCCTCTTAGACTATAGAGAAAAACATGAAACACATTTTTCAATTAAATTACAAAAAACTAAACAAACAAGCTTAGCAATTAATCTAAGTGTCTTCAATAGTGAAATCTTAGCGCAACAATTATTATATCGATTTTAGCTGATTAACGCTCTCAATTGAAAGTATTGCTAACAGTAACATACAATTATCAGAATAATTTTTAAACTGATTGACTTAAACTTAGTTATAAATAACAATTTGTGTCATTTCTATTTTTATGTATTTTACAAATGTTGATTTATAATGCCTACGTTTGTTGGTTTCAGTTAAATAAGAAATATTGCAAATCATTTTTAATAGAAGTTCGTGAACAAGTTCGAACCTATTTCAGAGGAGATTTCTTTTCAGTGTGCTGAGGACTGGGCCGTAGGGGTCGTAAGGGCACTTGGGATGGAGGGATGGAATATTTAATATTTAGTTTTTGTAAAGAAAATCAAATACTTTTTGGGGGGGATATTCAAAATGAATTAAATACTCTTGCCTTGCCCATGGACGGAAACCGTTGCTTACAGAAATCGTGGTCGAGGCCAACTGAATAATATGCATCCTTCTTGGAAGACAAATGAAAACTAATTTTCAATTTGCATCTTGAAATGATTAATTAAATGAGAGATACTTAAACTTATGTAGTTTCTCGTTTTAACTTTTGTTTGGGTCTGATAATGTTTTCTTCTACTGTACACAGTCTTTGTATATGCTTTGTTTTTTTTTTCATTTTCGTTTTCTGGATGCTCGTTTTAGCTTAACCAATTAAGGTTGAAACCGTTCTACACCTCGGTGCTGTGTGTCTGAATTCGAACCTTCTTAACGCTGCCGTTTCGGCGCATCGGCGGTGAGCTGCCGGATCCGGAATAGCCCGGATTCTGGATGCCCAGCGTGGGATCCGGCCGGGGTCTTGGCTTCTTCAGGCTCGAACGCAGTGGCGATCGGGTAACCGATTCCAGCGTGGAGCCATTGGACACACTGGTCACCGTGGTGCTCATGGAGGCCACACTGCCCGCCGTCCCGGCTCCATTCCGGATGCCGCTGTATGGCTTTCCAGAGGCATCTGTCACCGAGACTCCATTGCGACTGCGCGGCTCCTTGAATCCCGGATTGTTGAAGGTGGTGGCACTCGCCGGCGAGGAGGCATCCAGAGCCATTGTGGGGTCACCGCCAGGACTCCGCGAGTAGATCACATCGTACAGGGCGGCCACAAACAGGGCCACGGCTAGTACAATAGCAACGATCTAAAAAGGTAAATAATATTCATTAAACATTACGGTTTATTGCACTTTTATTGCGAATATTACTCACCTGTATGTAAAAGGAAATACCCCGCGATATCTTAAAGCCGAAGCGCTCTTGCTCATCGATTTGCAATGCAAACAACACCGTCGCTATGATGGCCAGTACACCTGTAAATATTTGAATTTAATTTAATGACTTTCAACATTGGCTTAATCTAATCGAAACGCACCGCCCAGAAAGGCCAACAGTAACTTGACTATCACTAGAGTTGTGTAGGGCATTACCACCTTCTCCCTGGATGAGATCATGGCGTGTTGGATGACCGACAAAATGCAAAAGATGCCCAGCACAGCTGAGCTGCCAATGGCCAACAGACCACTGACAAAGACTGCATCTAAAATAGAGAAAGTGGGAAATTTTAAATAAATAAACTACTCTGCATTTCCAAAGCCACTAAAAATACAAAGTCTAAAAATAACAAACTTTTGTTCAAAAGGGTTGTGCTATTTTTGAAAGCTTTGTTTTGTTAGTGGTTGGTAGTTTATGTTTCAAAAATAAACTTATTTTAAATACTTACTGCTTAACCTAAACTTTGATACATCGCTACCGCATTTCTCGCGGTTATACGTCAATTGCTTGCAGACCTTAAACGGTCCAAAATAACCTCGATCATAGTCATAGCCGCCTGCTGAGTTAAAAAATTGCTTTTAATTAGTTTGAAATTAAATAAATTAAATTTTTACAGTGAATACTGACCCGATGGACTGTCGTAGTAACCCCAAATGGGTATTCCAATTGCCACAGAGGCCAAGGCGAAACAAACGAAGCCCAGGCAGGTCACCCCAGCAGCATACAGTGTCGACTTTGCCATGTTTTACTGTACAGCATTACGATAACAATGCCAATTGAGATCCAACAAGCTGAAAAATGTAAAAGACAGCACATTAGACATGTATTAGACGTACTTGAGAGACAGAGAGACCTGGTAATCCATGTCATGCCAAAAATAATGCCACTGCCAAGCGGAATGATAAAGACGCTTTGCTTAGTTACCCCGAAATCTACTTTCAGGCATTAGCCAACCTGGTTATGATGGGGGTCACAACCCCCACCCACATAACCCACCCAGTCGGGCATCCAGTCCAAGTCGGGCACTTTGTCATCCTCACATCGAGCCGTGTTCTCATCACGAACAATTAGATCCCATTCATACATAAAGAGCTACTTGCCGTTGACCTTGAGATTGCATACAAAAAAAGTCAAGAAAAATAATGCTTACGCAAAGAAATAAGTATATTCGTCTTTGTGTGGGTCGTATCCATAAGATACACAGCCCAGCCTCTCAATTCCGTATTTCTCGGTTTGCGTTCTTCGTGTAAGCGGATTTCAGTCATAAACCGATTTCCCCTTACATGTAATTAAATGGCAATTTATGAAATATTTCTCAAGTATCTGTATCTCATACTTTTAAAGCAAGTTACGCCCCGAGAATGCTGGCTATTTTTGACAGCTATTGGCTAATTGATGAGCTATTATAAGTCTCTGTGCAAAAAATAGCATTTACTGGCTAAATGGTTTAACGGCGACATGGCGTATACGTAATGTATTCTCTTTAAATACTCCAATTAAAAAGTAAGCAATTATTTAAAAAGATAAAACAAAATCTATTCTTTTAAAATAAGTTACATTTCCATATAATTTACCTTTTTATAGACCAAAGCCACTTGGACTTCTACTAACAATGCTAATAAACTTACTAGCCTTCTCAATAAGCGGCTCTAGCCCCTTTTCCCTTCGCCCCGCTGTCATCATAAATAGTATCATATGCAAGTAAGCCGAGAGTCCTCTATGGCGATGAGAGACTGCAGCCAGCATTGAAATGCAGCCAGAAACTGGAAACTGGAGACAAGCTCTGGCCAAGAAATCGAAGAGAATTCAAGCCGCGGTTGCCTCATCGTGGCAGCAACTGGAACTGGAGTGAAGATTGAGTCCGACTTGGCCACTTAGATCTCTGCCAGACGCTGTTTGTTGCTCTTAGCGGTAAATAGACAAACTCAGCCAACGGGTGAATGCAAAAAACAGAAATAAAAGATACAAGAACTGGCGGCAGGGGATGTGTGCCGCCTATCTTAAATTACCTCAACGATTGTGGCTGATGGTTCTGCTTCTTGACTCGAAAGTTGGCTGAAAACGAAGGCCCAACTTGGCTCGACTGAGTGGAACGTTCGTCTCAGGCCAAGAGGAGATTATTCACTAGCTATATAAATATCCCCCAATGTGAGGAAGTCAGCTAGTAATACAAAAAGACTAATGAAACCTAATTAATACATGAAAATCCTACTTTTCAAAAGGTGTTTCCCTTTCCAAATTCCAAAACTATGGATCGAAAATTTAGTTTGTAGGTTTTAATGCAGTTTTGTGAAGAATTGATTCACGATTCGTTTAAGCTATTCCGCTTAAGAATCGGATGCCTATTGGCCATGTTGTGGACATCGATATGGGCCATATAGGGAAATCATGGATTTCTTGAGGGATCCCCCAAAAAAATTCGAAAAATAGGGATCGAAAATTTAGTTTGTAGGTTTTAATGCAGTTTTGTAGATAATTGATCCACAATTCGTTTAAGCCATTCCGCTCAAGAATAGGATGCCTATTGGCCAAGTTGTGGACATCGATAGGGGCCATATAGGGAAATCCTGGATTTCATAAGGGGGTCCCCCACAAAAATTGGAAAAATATGGATCGAAATATTAGTTTGTAGGTTTTAATGCAGTTTTGTGGAGAATTGATCCACGATTCGTTTAAGCCATTCCGCTTAAGAATCGGATGCCTATTGGCCAAGTTGTGGACATCGATAGGGGCCATGTAGGGAAATCATGGATTTCATAAGGGGGTCCCCCACAAAAATTGGAAAAATATGGATCGAAAATTTAGTTTTTAGGTTTTAATGCAGTTTTGTGGAGAATTGATCCACGATTCGTTTAAGCCATTCCGCTTAAGAATCGGATGTTTATTGGCCAAGTTGTGGACATCGATAGGGGCCATATAGGGAAATCATGGATTTCATGAGGGACCCCCCACAAAAATTCGAAAAATAGGGACCGAAAATTTAGTTTGTAGGTTTTAATGCAGTTTTGTTGAGAATTGATCCACGATTCGTTTAAGCCATTCCGCTTAAGAATCGGATGCCTATTGGCCATGTTGTGGACATCGATAGGGGCCATATAGGGAAATCATGGATTTCATAAGGGGGTCCCCCACAAAAATTGGAAAAATATGGATCGAAAATTTAGTTTTTAGGTTTTAATGCAGTTTTGTGAAGAATTGATCCACGATTTCCGCTCAGCTTTCCGATAAGCTATTCCGCTCAGAAATCGGATGGTTCTTGCCCATTCTATAGATGTCGATAATTGCCATATAAAAAGTTTCTGAAGTTTCAAAGTTTTTTTCCAGAAACTCTAGGGTATTTTTCAGTCGAATCTCTAGAACTTGTTTTTATTTTGTTTCAGCCATTTGAGGTTCTACCAATTCATTCCGCAACTTTGTTGCGTGGCTAACAAATGACAGCTAACCTCGGAGTCGGAGCTCAAGTTGAAGCCAAAGTCAACGGAATGAACTTTTCTCAATTGTGTCACGATTTTCAACTTGCATAAATTTTGGTTAAGATACTCGCCATGTCTCCAAGTCTCCACCTTGTCCCCCTTCTTCATTTATCGCCAGACTCGTCGCGTGGCTTCTTTCTTCTTAAAGCCAGTCTTCTGGCCATTCCATCTCACCGGATCGTGTGTAGGTGGCCAGAAAGGTGGAAAGCAGGCCCAAAGCGGGTCTTTGGGAATGAGTTGTAGAGCTGTGGGCCGTTGTCTGTTAAGAGCGTGATTCAGAGGTGATGTGTATCCGATTAAAACAGAGGAGTAACCAAAATAAAACAATAGTTCCAAACTCTTTCCAAATTTTTTTAGAAATATATTTTTGAACTACATATTTCGTAATGTATCGTAACCCCTCCAATTGTCGTGCTTTTAAGCCATTAATAATGGCTTAGTCACCCCGTTTTAACTTATCTCTGACACAACTTGAGCGCAACTCGTACTTCCATTAGCATTTTAAAATTGTCCACAATGACAAAAACAAAACACCGAAACCAAATCAATTAACTTGGGGGAAACGAAAGCAGGCTAAATAAAGCAATTTAACAGATCAGAGCGGTAAGGAATGGAATGGAAAGGCTAACAACCTTTTTGGGGTTCCCTTCAGACCCGAGACGTCCAATCCACTCCAGACCCATTAGCCTCCACTCACTTAATCAACGAAATGTGCAAATTTTTCCAGACTAAGGGCCAAACCTAACGCAACCTAAATAAAGCGAGAGAACTTAGTCTAATGAAAAGTCGCTTTTCCACGGAAATTGGGTCAGCAGTCCGCAGTCCGGAGCAGGAACCTGAGAATCAGGGAACACGCACCCAGAGCCCGAGCCAGAGCCAGACAGGAAATTTACTTCAATTTGTCGGTCGGTTCGGACCGACTCACGCCTGCAAATCAAATGGAAAAACGTGTCGCGGACTCTCTAATGGTGCCTCTCACCTTTCCACCCTTGCCACGCCGCCCCTTGGGCTCCCATTTCCTCACCTTCACTATCCACCGTTTTTTTTCCTATTGATTTTCACCCGAATCGTGGTTGGCTTTATTGTTTGATTTTTATACCGTAGAACAGATGGGTATAATCCAAGCCTTAGGAATTAGGTAATTTGAAACCCTACAGAGTATAATTGCAGACTAAACACTCTTGGAAGCCGATCTGGAAATTAATATTTATTATTTCTTTTGTTCCAATTAAAATCATCAATAAATAAAAGTATGAATTACAGATTATTATTAGATATTATAGGATATGAACAGAGTCCATATGGCGTGCTTGGAGTTCTTAGTTGGCAGGCCGAGCCAAACAGTGTTCCGGGCCGTATTTCTTGGCTTTGTTTATGTTTGGCCGCACTTGTTGCCATGGCAAAGTGCAAAACAGGCCACAACAGCTGGGGAAAAGTTTCTTCCACTTGCTGCCATTGGCGTTGCCTTGGAAAACTGTGGAAAATTGGGAACAGTGGAAAATGCAATTTGCCTACAGCTACTTCTCGTCTATTTTTCTATTTTTGGGGTAGGAAACCCCAACTCTGGCAGGCCAAGTCAAGTCAGGTTAGAACCTAATTCAATCGAGTGACATGACTGGGTCTAAGGTTATAATTTAAGGCGAAATCTTTAACCATTTTTGCCAGAACTTGGATAGTTGAAGAACCCCTCTCAGAATAGACAACTTCCGCTGAATCTGATGATCTTTATCTTGGAGTCTAGTCCATTTCCTGCCTCTAAACCAGATTCAAGAAATCCAGAGCTCTAAAGAGCTAAAGGGAAGTAAACAGGTTGGTTAGTCTGGAAAAATGGGTCAAACCTGGGCTTATAGAAATGTAAATATGAAGCCGAGTTCATCGCTGGTTCTTATTTGATTTGTGGTTAACACATTTCACTACAAGCTCCCTTTTTTTCTTAAACTCTGTCTGGTTCCCTATTTTTCTCACTCTCTTCTATAAAAGGAAAGATAATTTTCACGTATCCGTTGAATTGTGAAAAACTTTTACTTTGTAGCTGCTTCTTTTGGTTTATTTTTTGGTGAAAGTTTCCGCATCAAAAGAGCCCTAGACACAATCTATACAGTGGCGATCTTGTTTTTCTACTTCACACTCGCCCATAAGTACTTTAGTAAACTGTCAGGGTTCTTTCTTCTTGTTTTTCTCGAGTTTTCCCAGTTAGTATTTATCTATCGTTATGACAAGCGTGCAACATGCTGCAAGTACGACAAGTTGTGCTAACAACAATCTAGCTGCCAACGCCCTCAGAAACTTGTTTCAAAGCCCTATACACTTGGATTCTGGATATGGGTATGAATATTTGGAAATATATTCTGTTCTTATGAGCTCTATTTTTATTTTATTTTTTAATATTTTATTATAAATATTTTTTTAAATTTCTAAAACTATTTTTTTTCTAAATGTAGTTACTCCTCTCCTCTTTCTGGTAACCCCCTTTTCATATGTGTGTCATATATTGTCATTAGACAGGGGGTGGTGCTTAGGTGGGTGCTGGCTGGGTGTCCTCTTGTTTTGCGGCCAGCTGTTTTTTGTCCCACTTTGTACCCCTTTTTGCCAGCCCCCTGGCCCATAATTCCTGTTAACTTGTTATGTTGTTTCATAGGTAGAGCCGTTATTTACATAACATGTGCTGCATTTTACATGAAACGGTTAGCCATCTTCGTTGGCCGCGTGAGACAATTAAGCATAATTGCTGCGACTTGGTACATGTTGGGTTAAAGCCTAAAACAAGGTGTAGGCCTGATTCTTTATGGCCCAAACATGGGTTTTGTTATAGAATTTTTGCACTAACTAAACTAAGTTATATGACAAACTAGGAGATAAGTGGTAGAAATAATCTATTTAAATTAAATATTTTTCATATTATATTCTCAAATCTTATAAAACTACTTTCCTTATCCATTTCCGTACTCTATAATGACCTATTTTCAGTTGGCCTCTTGAATTGGCTTTGCTGGCTTGCTGGCCTCCCAAGGCGCTGCTAACACGTTTTGTTTAATGATGATGGCCCATTGTCGTCTATTCATTTAATTTGCTTGTGCTAATTTCCAACCCGATACGGCAAAAGTCACACGAAGAGTCAGCCTGCCACTTGGATGGAGGAGGATTGTGGCGGACTGGGGGACTGACTGGTCTCGGCTCGGTCGATTCAATAAAGTCATTAGCTAAAGTAGCCAATGCATCGGGGACGTTCGCCGGCCAAGATGCATTCAGAATGGAGCGGGATGCGGCTCACTGGCTTGGCAAATGGAAAGTGCAACGAGGCAGGCACTGATGCTGCTCATGTTGCCGCTCATATTGCAGCTGCACATGTTGCTGATGTTGCAAGAACAAGTCGGTAGAACTTGGCACTTGAAAAAAATAATCTAAAAATTATTATGAATAATTTGAAAAAATTTTTAAAGTCTTTGGGTTTTTTTTTTGAGTGTACTTCTATTGTTAATAGCTACTGCTGCCAACTGTCAGTTCATAATTCTGCGTGCCGCTCTACACGCCCCAAGGCGTTGCCAACTTTAACTAACCAACTGCCAAAGATGGCCCGTTATCTGGCTAAAAGGCGATTTATGGTCACAGAAGGCGGAAGAGCGGCGAGTTTATAAGGCCACAAAGGTTGTAATTGGTAGTTAGCTTGACTAACTAGATGTTTGGAGAGGGACTCTTCAAGTAGTTTCTGACACAAGATATTGGTTTTCATAAATTAATAAAAAAAATCGTATAATTTAAAGAATAAAATCTTAATGAATTATTCAGTGATAGTTGGAGTAGTAAGCCTTTCTCTTTAACAATTTCAAAGAATAAAGTGATTTATGAATACAAGCACGCGATTTTCCACATAGCCATTCCAAAGAACAAATGGTTATGGGTATGGAATTATACATAAAACACCGACTAGGAAATTCTCTATAAGTTCTGGTAGCTCAAGATTAATACCAGCTGCCAGGTGAGTCTACTCAGGTGGGCTTTTTGTTCGGCTTAGCTGGGTTTGAGGAACCAGGCCTTCGATCCAGTCGATAAATCACGTTCGGTGTTCATCTCAAAGTGTGATTATGATTGGGACGTCCCAGGGGGCAACTGCAAAATTAAAATTCTGTTACCATGGCTCAGATTTACAGCCGGCTAATTAGGTAGGCAAATGCTTTGGTTTTGGCCTTTCTTCGGCCCAACTAATTAACAATTGAAGCACGTCAGAGTTGGAAAGTGAAGTACTTCCGGGGAAATGGGTGGAAGTGTCTAAAGTAGAATATAATTATTTAAAATTTAATAAGGCATTCACCCTAACATTGCTTTAAAAACATATAATTTCTCTAGCATTTCCACAAAACAATCACAATCCAGACATTTTCCCTTACCTATATGTATGCAAATAAAAGCGTACACATTTCGCATGTAACTCCCACATAAAATTCAAAATTAACATAATGATAAGCAGTCGCAGAAAGATATTGTTGAAAAACAAGTTTTCATTGTCTTGGAAGTCAAAGGTTGGCGAAAAGAAAAACCTCTAATGAGGCTGCCGCAAGTACTTCAAACGTAACTTGAGAATTCCAGCCTTTATTAAATGGGCATTGAATTCATAACTTGTAATTACGTACAAGTTTAGGTTGAGTCATATGGGTATGTGTGGTTGATCATCTTTTGGCCGCTGCCCTTTTAATGTAATTTAATTTATTGTCAGTTATTGAACCGGTTGATGCCAGACATTCATTCAGTTATTTATGATGATTATACCCAGTTCTCGAGGAGAGTATTGCCTTAGAGACTAAAAAAAGGTATCTATCAGTCGTATCATCCATTATTATTCTCCTTAAACTTTCCTTTTGTTTGTTATTTTTTTTAGAAAATTTAAATATTATTGTTTGGAGGCCCACGTTGCGTATACATAATTTCATAATTTAATTATGTCGCAAGACGAGTCATAAAAATGCGTAAAATTAAAAAGAATGAGAATTGAAAAATATAAGCAGGCGCGGTTCAGGTTAACAACCTTGACCGCGAATTCTTAAGTGAAATAAAAGAGGGAAGAATTCTTTTATTGGATTTTTGCTGCTGATTCGGCAAATATTTGTTTCTTGGTAACGAAATTCTTGAACTCGTATTGAGAAATAAAAGTTTGTGTCTGGCATAATTCTCATTAAAAAATGGTACTTACTTTTTTTTTAGTATTTTATATATTTATTCCGATTAAGCAAACATTTAATTTAGTTCTGCTGTAGTCCATGACTCAAGAACCTTATCTGAAAGTAAAGTAAGAGATGTGTTAACTAATATTTTCTTTAAAAAGTTAAGTAACTAATTCTATTGCAACTCTATTGCAACTTAATGGCCTTTACATCTTTGGGAAAATATCCCATTTGCTTGCTAGATTTTCATCTCAAATCAACTGTCGTTAATCACTTCCCTTAATTAAAAGATAAACCTATAACGCAATTCCAGTAGCAACTGCAGCAAGTATAATAATTACTTAAACTCTTATCAAAAGGGGGGGTTAACAAGCGTGTGCCTTGAATCGCTGAGTAAAAATTGCACGACAATTACCCCAGAGACCCGGAGTCGAGCCGGAAAATTTCAGTAAAATTTGTATGCCAGTTGCGCAGCAATGGCAATGGTTAATGGAACCCCTTCACTGTCACAAAATTGCGTGAATCACGTTAGTCGGCGGCGTGACAATGGGTGAAACGCCATCAAAAGTACTTAAATTCCGAACTCAAACTCGAACCGAAAGCTGACAGACCGTCCGTTGATGGCTTTCTAATTTCTTCATATATTTGGCCTGGGCAAAAGGCCAAAAACAACACTTTAATTAGAGACTTGCAGTTTGTTGAATTATTTGAATTATAATTGACCCCCAAAATAAAAGCCAGAAACTAGGCAGTCCAATTGTTGTCTGTGACTTTTTTGGGGGGTTTTATGTTTATGCAATTGGATGCTGTTAGTCTTGACCTCTGGCAACAAGCATATTTGTAGATTGGGAAATTGGAAACCAACCGAAAATAAATTCTTTCAATTTATGAAAGAGTATTTATAGAGAAAGAATAAGATTTATAGAGCTCTGTTTCCTGAAGTTAGGTGTAAACTCATTTGAAGAAGGAAGCAGAGAATCATCATTACAGTGAGAACTAAATGAATTAAAGTACCATTTTATTGATGTAATTAAAGCCTGTGAAATTATCCCAAATTAGATGTGTAACTTTAATTAAAGTCTCTTTAAGAAACTCTGAAAGCTTGAACTGAAACTGAAACTAACTACCAAACAACTACCAAGTTTTTTTTTGTTGGCAAATACTTTTGTCAGGCCATTAGCCAGACTGGACAATAGATTTGAAACATTTTTGAGGACAGACAGACAGCACTTTCGCTAAAAGCACCGCCTTCATCTAATTTCCTGTTCCACAATAGTGCAGTTTCAATTTCAAATCAATGGGAACTCCCAGCCACTTATACACTCAAAATATAATATAATAAAGAACACCAAATGAATTCATGTAATCAAAGCCAATGCAATGATTCTACAAAAGAATCGCTGAACCGCAGCCTCCCACCAAAAAAAAAACTCGGGGAAAAAAAGAGGCAATAGTGCACTTAAATAGCTGCATAAATTTCAATTAAAATGCAGCAAAATAAGAAAAAATAACAACATAATACTATAAAAGAGCTTGAGCTTCGGACAAACTCTGAGGGAATGGACCCAGTCCCTGTTCCAGTTCCAACAACAAAAGAAAAAGCAAACCATTTCAAACTCAATTAAAAGGGCACTTAATTACGCGGCCAAAGTGTGTAAATGTGCGACAAGGATCGAGCTAAAGATAAGAAAGAGAAGGCCATAGAACACTTGTAGAAGAAAATGCAAAAATTTGCATAAGACAAGCCCCTGTGGGTTGTGGAGTGACCACTGTTACCAGTGTAGTTTAAAGATATATTCTTTTTCAGATCCACGGTTCTATAGACAACGCCTGTTGCTTGTCTACCTTTCTCACTCTATACTATATATGCCCTCTCGCTCTTGGAAATCAACAAAATGCTGACTACGCAAGTGTGACGTCGCTTTCTGCTGCGGTTGCTGCTGCGTCTGTGCAGTTGGCCACACTACTATTTGGCCACTCAACCAAAGCTCCCCCACTGCCCCACCGTGACCACACACTACTCCTCCTCCTCCACCTCCCCCCGCCCACCTATCAATGCCGTCGACCTGCCCACATTATGTAAAACTGAAAAAAATGCGATGGGCGTGGTGGCCAGGTAACAAACGAAAATTCTTTAACACGCATGCAACGTGAAAAAAGTTTGTATTTTGTTTGTCAAAAAAAAAAAAAAAAAGATAAAAAGTGAAGAAGACAAAAAGTTAAATAAAAACAACCAGAATCAACAAAAAAAAAACAACCAGTTTTCGAGGGCTAACGGTGCTCAACGTCACCTACTTTTCACTCTAAAATTTTTGGTAGATAAAATATCTTTTCTTACGAGTATGCAGTACGAGTATCTGTATCTGTATGTGTGCTTCTCGAACCGTTAAAACCGGTTATGTTTTTGGCTTTAATTCAAGTTTTTTTGTGTGTTTTTGGGGGAATTGAAAACGAAATTTATTTTGAAATTAAGTTAGAGGGAAAAGTTGAAGAGGTTACCTGCAGAGTTTTGACCGAGTTTTCTTTTCAATGGTCCAGTATAGGTTAAATATTTGTGGAAGTAGATGAGATTCTTTTAGATTTTAAGACTAAAAGCTATATAAGATAACATCCATAAACTTGTGAGATTATTATTATTATATAGGCAAGATTTTAGAGACCACTCCTCGAAACCTGATAGGTAACTTGAATGATAAGACACCCAAACGTGACCATTGAAAAGAGACTTCAACAAGAAGTTGAGGAGAAATATAAAGTTATTTTATGAAAATCTTGGAAAACCTTGGAAACACAAGATGGGCTTTATAATAGGCCCAGAAAGAAAGGTTCTCAGAAAAGCAATAAAAAAAGACAATTATTGGGTACCTTAAATATTCTATATTTATTTCAGTGTATAATATTTTCAATTTAGCAAAAACCATTTTTTGATTGTTTTATTTTTACCTTTCTGGTCTTTTTTTGGGGGGCGCCATCTATAAAAACCTGACACCCGAAATAGCCACAAAGGCAAGACCTTGGCGTGCCTCAGGAACTTTTTATTATCCTAGTTTTATGAGCCCATAAAATGCTCCATCGGCAGGCTGGTTGTCACTGCTCCCTGGGCTAAGAATAAAACGTTCATTGAGCAGGCCAACACTTTCGCTCGGCCTGTCCACCACCCACCAGATGCCTTTCACTAATTTTTACGTAAGCGTAGTCCCATTCCCACCTCAAATGTCCTCATTTCCTTTTGGCCTAACTTGACGTTTCCTTTGGCTTAATAGGTCACTGGCTGCCTGGTGGCGACTGCCGGGATTCGCTCACATGCCGGGGCCGCACCCACTTGGCCAAAAAGGTTAAGTTGGTAATTAAATTTGAGGTCAGTTTTTCTCAGCCGGCTCTGCGGCAGGTTTCTTTCGCTGATCCGGTTTTAGCTAAAAGGTTTTTATCTATGGGAACGTAACAAAATGAGTTCCCTTGCGTGCCAGATTGCCATCATTTGCCTGAGATCATCACCCGAGGGGGGTCGTAAATATAGTACATATAGTTTGTCAATCTCCTGCTTGGCTGAGCGCTCTGATGGAAGGTTAAGATGGCTCAGACAAAAGTATATGTTGCAACCAGGGATTTTCTAAAAAGATACTAAATAATTGACTTTATTTTCTTCACATATCAGCGAAAAGTTATACCAACTTTGACACTCCCCCAACACTTGAGGTACTTGGGGTGACTTTTTTTGGCCAAATGATGTCAGCTTTTGGAGTTCTCCACCTTACAGGATGTATTTTTGTTACTTTCACCCTTAATTAAATTTTATTTCACTTTTTTTTTAATAATAATTTAGGCTCTTAAGGTACTGTATTCTTGGTGAAAACTATTTAAACGAAGTGCTAACCTGCAATGCGACATTTTGTGACAATTGTTGTTGTTTGGCCAACACTAACAACCAGCAAAAAGCTGAAAAAACTGCCTTTTTTTTAATTGCTCGACAACATTTGCTAATTAAGTTTTACAGTTGCAAGAGTTCTTATCACAAATTGCGAATTTTCTCAAAGCACCGGGAAAAGTTTGCATATTTAAGTTGAGAAGTTGAGGTAAGCCATATATAACCCTTTTCCACCGATTTTTCCCCCTTCAACCGACACCTGCTGAGCTGCCGTGACTGAAAGTCATTTAAACTGTTTTACTTGCTGATGTTGTTGCTTCGGCTGGCATAATTATTTTTATACATTTTAGTTGCTTTTTTTTAGTTTTTCTGCTTTAGAGTTGCTTTGGAGCTATGTAAATAAATTTGCAAGTGAATTTTGCACTTGCAGAGGCGTTCAAGGCGAGGCTTAGAGCAGTGCACTGAAGTCGTAAATCTTTTTTGTTTTTGGTTTGGATTTTTTAATGAGGTTTTTCTGATAAGCCAGAGTTAAGATTTATGTTAGTTTAATGGGAAAATGGTTAGAAAAACTGCCTTATATTATTTATTAAATTTCCGTAGTTTTATAATAAAATTTTGTATCTGCCTCACGTTCTCAGCTAGCCCATATCATCTTAAAGATACTTTTATGTCTCTACATCTCAGCTAGCTATGGAATGTGCTTGGATAAGGCGCCACTCATCGGATAGGATTGCAGATGTCTTATCTTTCGATAAATAATCACTGACTGAGAAACTCATATGAAACAATATTTAGAGCCAAACCAACCAGGCAGCCACTATTTTCATTCCAATCAGAGGTAAACAAAAATCCAAAAGGCGACATTACTAAAAAAATGCCAACAAACCTGTTGCTGCGGTCGCTGCCACTGCCAGCGTCGACGTCAAAGCCAACGCCAACGCCAAGAACTTCGGCTTGGAAGCTCTCAAGCGGAGTTGTTGTTGTTGTTACTGCCGCCTTTTTGCATGTGCAAAAAGAGAGGGAGCACTAAAGAACGAGAGGTAGAGAGAGTTAGCTCACTAATACACGGGCCTTTTGACAGGTAAGCGAAACACGTCGCCGTTCAAGAAGAAGAAGAAGCAATAATGAATGATCGCGGCTTTAACTTCAGGCGATTTCAAGCTGTATTGGTATGCGTTGTGTGCATTTCTGGGAGTTGACTTTAACACATTTTGCCTTGGAATTTGAAATTCTTCTTGCACTTTATGCACTTTATTTAATAAAAATCTTGGTATTTTAATTTGAACAATATTGACGGTTCACACATACACAGAGCAAAGAGGCGCACCGGTTGCGCAGGCGATTTACTAAACTTAGCCCACGACTAAAACAGCCAATTGGCGGTAACTGGTTTTATTTCGGTTATAAGTGCGGCCTCCGCGGCGTTCGATGGGCGACTAAAGAGAAAATTTTGTTCGGTTCAGAACAAAACTTTTTCAAACTTTTAAAGTTTATTTTAACGTTTTTCAGCACTTGAGTTGGCGGGCTAAAAAAGCACAATACAAAACAGCTTTTTTAAGAGGGAAATTTAAAAGTATTTTTATGATATTTTCAACACTGGAAAAATGTGTTTTTTTTTCTGGCGGAATAAAGAATTAAAATTTGGCGCAAAAATTCTTAAATTTTACAAATATTCCCCAAAAAACCTGAGTTGTATAAGCTGGCATCGTCTTTTTGTAGTGCTTGAAATCGAATAAAAACTAGTTATCGATTCGTTATCGTAAACGAACTAGATCTCTTAAAAGGGACTGCCAACTGTCGTAGATTACCCTGCCAATCTGTTAAATAGAGTTGCACAACAGAGCCGGAGCAAGATTTTGTTTTTTTGTTAATTAAATTGGAAATAAAATGCTGCGTGCCGGCTGTCAACTTCTTACCCAGACTACCCTGCCCGCCGGAAAGTCGAGCGGCAGCGGTTTCGCTCTAGAATTCGTCCGCTGGCGGAGGAAGCCGCGCTGGCTGCCGGTGGCCAAGAGCAAGATGTTCCGCGTGCCCGAACGCAAGAAGCAATCGGATGAGGAACGCACCGAGCTGATGCGGCTGCACAATCAGTACAAGTAGGTTTTATTTAATTAAAATACTATCTACACTTACTAATCCCGAATCATTGCAGAACCCAACTCCGATCGGTACGCCAGTTTCTGCGAGAGGAAGTAGTGCGGCATGAGGAAACCTCCACTGCGGATCACATAGTTCTGACCCCGGAACAAGAGGAGTCCGAGTTCCTCAAGTGCGTGGACATCAACGCGACCTGGAATGCAAAAATTGCCAAGGAGCGAGACCAGCGGCTGGCCAAGGAACGCGAGGAAAAGGTGGTCTATGTGCAGGAACGACTGGAGGCGCGTCAGCTGCGCGAAGAGGAACGTAGGGAGCAGGCTAACCTGCGTGTTCTGCGTGAGATCGAGTCTTCCAAAACGTTCATCACCAGGGAAAACCTGGACGCCGCCATTGAGACAGCCCTGGCCAATCCTGTGGATCACAACTTTGCCATCGACTTGGCCGGAAACCTTTACCGAGGACGCAATTCCTCCCAAGTTCCAGAAGCCACTCCCTCATCCGACCAGCAAGCCTTGAGTAATTAATAGATTGTCTTAGTTTCTGGTTACATTAAAAGTGCTTTTTTAGCTTAAATATGTTTTTAGGAAAGTTTGTTTTCCATTTTACTAAGGGGCTTCGTAAATTTAAGGATATCCGGTTGAGATGGGATATTACTGTTCTTATTCTGTGGTGAAGCGATCATGGATCGCCGTCGTCAAGGGATCTCCCGTGTGGGATCTAGACGTGGGTTCTTTGGAAACCTTGGACGGCAACCATTTATAATTGGAATCCTTGGATCCCCTTTGGATCATTGTCCTCTTCTCCAGAAGTACTATTATCCTGGGATTTTCCACAGTTGGAGATTCTACTCGGAGCTTGATGAGTTGCGGCTCCACCCCGTCCCAAATCTTCCCTACAAATAAATATTTACTAAAATATATACATATATTAACATTGATTAATAGAAACATTCTTGTAAAATTAAACAGGCTTACATTGTAATATATTTTTAATCAGTTGGCAGAGCTACTCGAATAAACCTCACTAGATGGCGACAAAAAAGGATATTACATAAAAATCCTTTTTATTTTTATAAATCGTGTTATTTTGCCTCTTGTTTTTTCTAAGGGGTGGAAATGTGGTTCTATGTTTTTTAGGGATGGAGCCATAAAAGGATCCGATTGCGTTTATAAAAAGAATGTCCTTTTAAAGTACCGTTGAAAATGTGGTTCTATGTATTTAAGGGATGGAGCCATAAAAGGATAATTTTGTGTTTATAAAGGAAAGTCTTTTTAAAGTACCTTTGAAAATGTGGTTCTATGTTTTTATAACTTAAGGAAATTTTAACGCTACCCATATAAACAACAATAACTTTTAAGTTTAAAGAGAAGACAGTGCTGACTTTTTTTAAGTTAAAAATATCAGGAAGATAATGACAAAACATGAATTTATTTTTGTAGAAGGTAATATTTTTATTGCCTCAAATTTAAAAAAAAAAAAAAACTTTAAGGGTTTCATTCTTAAAATAAAAGCAAATGTAAATGAGACCTAGCATCAAGGCAATTTCAACACCCCATTACAGAGGTCCTGTCTGTGGAAAATCAACAGAAAATGTTATAAAGGACCTCCATCCAACCTGGGGAAATAGTGGTTGCGGACCACTCTCCACCTAGCACGTTTGAGTCTGAGGTTGCAACAGGAGGATATCCTTGCAACTTGAATGGACTAACTCTGGCCAGAAGAGCTGCTTTCAATGACCAACGAATCAGTTGAATTTCTGTTCTCATCGACTGCGGTTTAAGTTGGTTTATATCGCGGTATAATGAGTGCGTCGGTGGCCTGCAATTGAATGAAGGAAAAGTATGTTTCAATCAAAAGTCGCGTTCATCTTTTGATACAAATACGATTACTAATATCGATGTGCAATCCAATAAATATTTTTATGCTTATACGCATATCCTGTGCCAGTGATGATTATGTTTGAAACACCAAAATATGTACGTACATATCGTACACTATAAATGCGATTTAAGAAATGTCTTTACCTTTAATACAAATATTTTGAAAATGAGTGGAAAGTTGATTAAAGGTTGCATAACTCGCAGTGTGCCAAATCCGATTTAAGGAAACGGAATATAAAGAATACCAGTGGAGTGTGCTACAAAAAAACACCTGAAATTTCAGTTCCCCCTTTTGAAGTTGGCTGAGGTCCTCAGATTGCGAAGCCCTTGCAATACGGATTATGAGGAATGCAGGCTTTCTTTCGCTTCTGTTTTTTTTTTTTGGTTGATTAAATATTTTCTTTTCGTTTAGCTATCCGTTTTTTACCAAAGCTTTTTTTAGGTAAAGGTAAAGGTGGAAGTTATTGAGGTAGAAACAACAGCAGAATACAGACGAATTTGCCGTATAATTGCCCCAATTTTGTGAGCAGTAGAATTAGTCATCGAGGTCTCTAAATAATTTAATATTTGCCATTCTTAACAAAAAAGTGCAGGTTAACAATAAGTATCAGCTTAGTTTCCTTTCGGGTTAACTTAGGGCACCGAAGGACTCTTACCTTCTTGGATTTACAACTACAATTTATTGATTTTTGTAAGAAATTTATTATTGCTCGCTTCAAGAAATAAATTATACATCAAAAAAGCCAGGCAGAGTATTTACTTTAAAAGGTTTAGAGCTTATATGTTTAAAGGTAAAGATTAATAAAAGTAAAAGGTTGAAAATAAATAAACTTTTGTTAGCCAAAAAGAACATACATATGACCTGTAGGGCCAATCCTTTTAATCTGATGGTCTACTCAAACTTTGTTTGACTTCCTGTTTTCGCAAATCGCGTGACAGCCTTCTTTCTTCTCAAAGTCTTTCAATTCTAAATCAAATGCTTTAAGAAAAATTCTATGTATGCTATTTTTTTATTGAAGCAATTCTAAAGGGCATATAATTTCCTATAGCCTAGTCTCACTGTTTTTAAATATTTAACTAAGCCATTTTAATAGAACGTTTTTTTCCTTAACTTTAAAAGAAAGTTAATGTAACTTTAACTCGTATTTATGTTCATTATTATACTTTTTTTTATATTTTAAACTATTTTAAAAAAACTATGAGATTCATAAGCCAGTATTGCAATAACAGAATTCATTAAAAAAATAGGCAATAAATAAAATACAAATTTAAACTATGAAAAAGAAGAATATGACGAAATAAAAGCGGTACTAATAAAGGACAATGGAATTATATCTAAACATTTTTTTTATTTTAATAATCAAGTCTAAAAAATGTTTATAACTTGAAAAAGAAGTGGATAAACAAGTATGGATTACAAAAACTACATCCACGATCTTTTAAAACTGTGCGCCATGAGTTGATCGATAAAAAGAGATCGGAAGTGTGGCCCGATTTTCCTTCAGTGCTGAAAAATTAAATTGAGGCAGTGTTGCAAAAGGCCTTAAATCCGAATTGTTTGATTTCTGGGAAGAGGAGAGGATGAGGATCGTAGTTAGTGCCAATGCAGCTAAAAATTAATGTGTGCAATCCGAGCTCGGTTAATTTGTGATGAATGAAAATCCAAATAAGTGCATGTGCGTGACGACAGGCAGCAGCGGCCGGCTCTGAAATAATCAAAAGATATCGAAAACTTCGAATATTAGTCACTTTAAAGCGGAGTTGTTTGCGCAGTGGGATCAACTTTTAATTTTAAAGGTACCAACGCACACAGATACTCGGCCGCAGATACATCTGGATGTGAGTGTGTGTGTGTGCCAAACAATTTAGGTGTACATATGGAAAAGATTAAGCCGTGGTTTCAGGCCCACTCTTATTTACCCAAAGACTTGCTGCCTACTCACTATTTTCCACTATTTTTTTTATCAAGGTGTTTGTGTGTTTATTTTACCTTATCGAAAAATTGGGCTCACGGAAAAAGAGGCACATGTTATCTGAATAAAGCGATATATATATATATATCAGAGTTTATACATATGTATGGGAGTTAGCATTACATACCCATGTAACTGGAGTATGACTGTAAAAATTCCGTTTTTTGTGGACTTTGTGGATGCCTATAGGGTCCAGGTGCAACGGGAAATGTGAGGCGAAAGATATAAATTGCGTGGGCAAAAAGTATCTTCAAGATATATCAACTGCAGTTTAAAACTTTAAAACTAAAACTTAACTCTTATTTTATGGTACATATGTGAGTGTCTCATCAACGTGAACTTCTTATGAATTACGACCATTCATTATGGCCAATTATTACTCATTCGGTGACCGAAGCAATTTCGCAACCCATCGACTTCCATGTATCTTAATCTTTGTAAAAAAAAATGGTTCTGCAACTGCTTCGCCAAACAAGTGGTTCTTCAATCAGCTGGTAGAGGTGACAGATGTGTAGCTATAGGTAGAAAGTTTCTACTAGAAACCATAAAAAAGATACTTTTTATGATGTGTTCAACAAAAAGAAACTATTCTCTTTAGGTGTTACACCTTTTACACCAAAATTACACCTTTTTAGAAAGAAGAAAGGTTCTCATGTAGAAGTTAGACAGCAGAGTTCTTTGTTTAAAAAAATCCAAATTAAGAAAATGTATAGTGCTTTCCAAATCAAAGTTTTTCATATTTTATTATCAAGTAATTTAGTTGAATTAATTTTTTAAACACATGCTAATTATGTTAACCGTGAAAGTAAATAATAAAGTTTAGCATTATAATATCAACACTAATAGCTATGATTATAAATATCTTGCTTAACAAAAAGTTGTATTTCTTCTATGTAACAACAAATTAAAATAATAGCCTAAAACTCATCTAAATCGAAAATCATAAAGACTGATAACAGGCCGTGCCCATTTAAAGAAAAAACTAGGTCAAATCGATTTGTGAGCAGGCGTTTATTTCAACCGTTTCCAATTAGGCGGAAAAGTAGTTTTTAAAAATTTTGATTTTAAACTATGAATATGCTAATCTCAGCTAATAAGATTTAAATATTTACTTGAAATTTGTGTTTAATAGAAAATTATAAATAAATTGTAATTAAAATTAATTCACAAACAGAAAACCACAAAGGGAAAATTTTATGTTATATCTGTGATTTTAATTGGATATTTAGGGTTTTGTTGAATTAAATTTAATAGTTCCTGAAATGATAATTAGTTCATGGCTCATTTCAATTGCATTCGGATAAAACGAAAGTGTGTTTTTGTGAAAGTGAATGAAAATAGAGACATTCAATGAATGGACAGATAAAAAAACACACATGAAGGCTGTTTTATTGAAATATTTGTTAAGCTTTTAATCTTTAAAAGACAACAAAAAAATACAAAACACTAACAAATAAATACTTAATCGTTTTTCAGGATATTATGTGAAATAAGAGCCGTATATGTTTACTATGAAGATTAAAAAATATGTAACTCCTGTAAAAAGAAAAACTTTCAACATAGTCCAATGGACTTCACTCCTGTGTAGTCTTTGGCTACTCCCCACTGTACAAAGCAAATCCGATGACAAGGCAACTGCGAATTTCGAATATAGACTAGAGAACCGATTGGAGAATCTTTACCGATTTAGCCATCATGTATATAATGTTACCATACCAGAGAACAGTCTGGGAAAGACTTATGCTAAGGGAGTACTGCATGAAAGACTGGCCGGCATGAGAGTTGGCTTGCACTCAGAGGTTAAGTATAGGATAATTAGTGGCGATAAGGATAAGCTGTTCAAGGCCGAGGAGAAGCTGGTGGGGGACTTTGCCTTCTTGGCGATCCGAACCCGAACCAACAATGTGGTGCTGAACCGCGAGAAAACCGAGGAATACGTAATCAGAGTGAAAGCACATGTACATTTGCACGACAGGAACGTGTCGAGCCACGAGACGGAGACGAATATTCACATCAAGGTCCTGGACCGCAACGATCTCAGTCCGCTCTTTTACCCCACTCAGTATAATGTGGTGATTCCGGAGGACACGCCCAAATATCAGAGCATCCTGAAGGTGACCGCCGACGATGCGGATCTCGGCATCAATGGCGAAATCTACTACAGCCTGCTCATGGACAGCGAGTACTTCGCCATCCATCCGACCACAGGGGAAATCACCTTGCTGCAGCAGCTGCAGTACGCCGAGAGCTCGCACTTTGAGCTCACAGTGCTGGCCTACGACAGGGGCTCCTGGGTCAACCACCAGAATCACCAGGCCAGCAAGGCCAAGGTCAGTATTTCGGTAAAGCAGGTCAACTTCTACGCCCCGGAAATCTTCACAAAGACCTTTTCAAGTGTCACGCCCACCTCCAATCCCCTGATATACGGGATAGTCCGAGTCAACGACAAAGACACGGGGATTAACGGCAACATTGGGAGTCTGGAGATTGTGGACGGAAATCCGGATGGCACGTTCCTCCTGAGAACTGCGGAGACCAAAGACGAGTACTACATCGAGCTGAACCAGTTTGCGCATTTAAATCAACAGTTTTTTATCTACAATCTCACCCTGCGGGCCGAGGACCTGGGCACCCCTCGCCGATTCGCCTACAAGTCAGTTCCGATACAGATAAAGCCGGAGAGCAAGAATGTACCAATATTCACGCAGGAGATATACGAAGTCTCGATTCCGGAAACGGCGCCCATCAACATGCCTGTGATAAGGCTGAAAGTGAGTGATCCCGACCTGGGGAAGAACGCTTTGGTCTACCTGGAGATCGTGGGCGGTAACGAGGGCGACGAGTTTCGCATCAATCCCGATTCTGGGATGCTGTACACTGCCAAGCAGCTGGATGCGGAGCGCAAGTCCATGTACACCCTGACAGTCTCGGCCATCGACCAGGCGAACGTGGGCTCAAGGAAACAGTCCTCGGCCAAGGTGAAGATCAACGTTCAGGACATGAACGACAACGATCCGATCTTCGAGAATGTAAATAAAGTAATATATATTAACGAAAATAATCTCGCCGGCTCGTTTGTCGTTAAACTCACTGCCAAAGACAGGGACTCTGGCGAGAACTCGTACATATCCTATAGTATTGCCAACCTGAACACTGTGCCCTTCGAGATCGATCACTTCACCGGAGTGGTGAAGACCACGTCCCTGATAGACTACGAGACGATGAGGCGAAACTATGAGCTTATTATCCGGGCCTCGGACTGGGGCCTACCCTATCGCAGACAGACTGAAATAAAGCTCTCGATTGTGGTGAAGGACATCAATGACAACAGACCCCAGTTCGAGCGGGTCAACTGCTACGGAAAGGTCACTAAATCAGCCCCCATGGGCACTGAGGTTTTCGTGACCTCCGCCATTGATTTCGATGCTGGGGACATGATATCCTATCGCCTGAGCGACGGCAACGAGGATGGCTGCTTTAGCTTGGATCCCACTTCCGGTTCGCTATCCATTGCCTGTGATTTGATGAAGGCCGCCATGGGTAACCGGGTGCTCAAAATCTCGGCCACCGATGGAACTCATTTCTCCGATGAGCTGATCATCAACGTCCACCTGATGCCGGACGACTTGAGCGGAGACGCCGGTGTGTTGCACGGTTATGGATCCTTCGAGTGTCGCGAAACGGGAGTGGCCCGCAGGCTGGCGGAGACCATGGCTTTGGCGGAGAAAAACAACGTAAAGGCCGTCTCCCAGTCGGTTTTCAGTGACCTGTCCCTGACGCCAAGTCGATATGGCCAAAATGTCCATCGCCCGGAGTTCATAAACTTCCCCCAGGAGCTGGCCATAAACGAGAGTGTGCAGCTGGGGGAAACTGTGGCTTGGATCGAGGCCAAGGATCGGGATCTGGGCTACAATGGGAAGCTGGTGTTTGCCATTTCCGACGGCGACTACGATTCGGTATTTCGCATCGATCCCGATCGTGGTGAGCTGCAAATCATTGGCTACTTGGACAGAGAGCGGCAGAATGAATATGTCCTCAACATCACCGTCTATGACCTCGGTACGCCCACCAAAGCCAACTCGAAAATGCTGCCCATCACCATCCTCGATGTGAACGACAATCGTCCTGTTATCCAAAAGACTCTTGCCACCTTTAGGCTGACTGAGAATGCCAGGATAGGGACTGTGGTACACTGCATCCATGCCACCGATGCCGACTCTGGAATCAATGCCCAAGTGACCTATTCCCTGTCCGTGGAGTGCAATGATTTTACGGTCAACGCCACCAATGGCTGCATCCGCCTGAACAAGCCACTGGATCGCGAGAAGCAGGACAAGTATGAGCTCCACATAACGGCCAAGGATGGTGGAAATCCAGCCTTGTCCTCGGAGGCATTGGTTTATGTTTTGGTGGATGATGTGAACGACAATGCCCCCGTGTTCGGTGTCCAGGAGTACACATTCAAGGTGCGCGAGGACCTGCCGAAAGGCACTGTGCTGGCCGTCATCGAAGCTGTGGACGAGGACATTGGTCCCAATGCCGAGATCCTCTTTTCCCTTAAAGAAGAAAACCAGGAGGAGGAACTGTTCAAAATCGACAAGCACACAGGGGCCATAAGGACGCAAGGATTCCTGGACTATGAGAACAAGCAAGTCCACAACCTGATTGTGAGCGCCATCGATGGCGGAGATCCTTCACTCACCTCCGATATGCCCATAGTGATCATGATCATTGATGTCAACGAAAACCGATTTGTCCCCGAGTTCGAGGACTTTGTGTACGAAGGCAGGATCAGGGAGAACAAGCCCAAGGGAACGTTTGTGATGAATGTCACTGCCAGGGATTTGGACACCGTTGATTTGAATTCCAAAATAACTTATTCAATCACAGGCGGAGATGGGCTGGGTATTTTTGCAGTCAATGATCAAGGTTTGTAGATAGTTTGATTTAAGTTAATCAACTATTAAGTATTATTATTTAATGTTTTAAGGATCCATTACTTCCTTGTCGCAACTCGATGCGGAAACGAAGAACTTCTATTGGCTAACACTGTGTGCTCAGGACAGCGCCATTGTGCCCCTCAGCAATTGTGTTGAAGTAAGTGCTAGACATACATATCTCCCTGATCTACATAATAATCATTTTATAATACTTTCTAGGTCTATATACAAGTTGAAAACGAAAACGACAATATTCCCCTGACCAGCAAACCAGTTTACTATGTAAATGTAACCGAGGCCAGTGCAGAAAATATTGAAATCATTAAACTGCATGCTGTGGATCCGGATATAGATCCCACACAAACCATTTCCTACAATATTGTTTCAGGAAATCTGGTTGGCTACTTTGAAATTGATTCCAAAAAAGGTAAGACAGTATTTAATTTTTCTTAAAAATATTTCCTTTAATTTTTTTGATAATTTAAGGAGTTATAAGAACCACGGAGCGCAAACTCGACAGAGAAAATCAAGCAGAGCACATCTTAGAGGTATTTCATTAAACAATCTTTACATATTTTGTTTAGTTACATATCTCCCTCATCTATCAGGTGGCCATATCGGATAATGGATCTCCTATGCTGTCCTCTACTTCACGAATCGTTGTAACCGTTTTGGATATTAACGATAACAGTCCAGAGTTCGATCTGAGGGTCTACAAAGTGCAAGTTCCTTCCTCGGCTACGGTGAACCAGTCCATATTCCAGGTATTTTCATTCAAGAAATCTTTATAATTCAAAGTAAATCATGATCATGTCTTCCAGGTGCATGCTATCGATAGTGACGATGGGGATAATGGTCGCATTACATACTCCATCAAGTCGGGAAAGGGTAAAAACAAGTTCCGCATCGATAGCCAAAGAGGCCATATATACATTGCAAAGCCCTTGGAATCAGATAATGAGTTTGAGATCCACATTAAGGCCGAGGACAATGGGATTCCTAAGAAGAGTCAAACTGCTCGGGTCAATATAGTGGTAGTTCCAGTCAATCCAAACTCACAGAATGCTCCAATAATTGTAAAGAAAACCACGGATAATTCTGTCGATTTGACGGAGAACGACAAGCCGGGTTTTTTGGTGACACAAATTCTAGCCGTTGATGATGACAACGATCAGTTGTGGTACAACATTTCCAGTAAGTTTTTAATCTAAATAAATAATACATTATATTAATTGTATTTTGTTTTTATAATTTAGGTGGCAATGAGGATAATTCTTTTTATATTGGCCAAGACAATGGAAATATTCTGCTGTCCAAGCATCTAGACTATGAAACGAAAAAGTCCTATAATCTAACCATCAGTGTAACGGATGGAACGTTCACCTCGTTCACAAACCTCCTCATCCAAGTGATAGACATCAATGACAACACTCCCAAGTTTGCCAAGGATGTCTATCACGTGAACATCTCAGAAAACATTGAAGAGGAGTCGGTTATAATGCAACTCCATGCCACTGACAGGGACGAGGATAAAAAGTTATTCTATCATTTGCACGCCACTCAGGATCCCTCATCGCTGGCCCTGTTCCGTATCGATTCCATAAGCGGAAATGTCATCGTCACCCAGAGATTGGATTTCGAAAAGACAGCCCAGCACATACTGATTGTTTTTGTCAAGGATCAGGGTGCGCCTGGCAAGAGGAACTATGCCAAGATTATCGTGAATGTCCACGACCACAACGATCACCATCCGGAGTTTACGGCCAAAATAATTCAGAGCAAGGTGCCGGAGAGTGCGGCCATTGGATCCAAGTTGGCCGAAGTGAGGGCCATAGACCGGGACAGTGGCCACAATGCGGAGATACAGTACTCCATAATAACTGGCAACGTGGGCAGTGCCTTTGAGATCGATCCAACCTTTGGCATCATCACTCTGGCCGACAGCCTGAACATCAACAAGATTCCGGAGTATATGCTGCAGGTTAAGGCCATGGATATGGGCAGTCCACCGCTGTCCTCTCAGATCCCAGTGCACATCATCGTGACGATGTCGGAGAACGATCCGCCAAAGTACTCCACCAATAATATAGCTATAGAAATATACGAAAACCTGGGAATCGGAACATTCGTCACTCAGGTGACAGCCCGCTCATCCTCATCCATATTCTTTAATATTGTTTCCGGCAATGTGAACGACAGCTTCCGAATCAATCCTTCCACGGGAGTTATAGTTATTAATGGAAACATTGACTACGAAATAATTAAGTAAGTAGTTTATATTATTTACCTTAAAATATCTTAATAAAATGTATTATTATTTCAAGGGTTTTCAACCTGACGGTTAAAGGCACCAATATGGCAGCAGAGTCTTCTTGCCAGAATATAGTTATACATATCTTAGATGCTAACGATAATATTCCATATTTCATTCAAAACGAATATGTGGGAGCTTTGTCTGAATCGGCTGAAATAGGATCCTACGTACTCAAAGTACACGAATCAAAAGAGTGGGTTTTTTAATTCAAAATACTTGCGAGTTAAAATATTAAATATATCATTATTTTTAGCCATTTAACTTTACAAGTCAAAGATGCTGATGTCGGAGTTAATGGAATGGTTGAATATCACATAAATGATGATATTGCCAAGAGTGTTTTTAAAATAGATTCCACAACCGGAGCCATAGAACTTTTAAGACATTTGGACTATGAAAAAAATACAGCCTATACATTTGATGTTACGGTATTATATCATACTTTCTTTATTTTTAGAAAACACCATTAAAAGTATATATATTTTAGGTTAGTGATATGGGAAAGCCAAAACTACATTCCACCACAACTGCCCACGTAACCATACGTGTGATTAATGTTAACGACTGTCCACCAGTTTTCAATGAAAGAGAACTGAATGTAACCTTGTTCCTGCCAACTTTTGAGAATGTTTTCGTGGCTCAAATAAAAGCCAGCGATGCAGATAACGATACTCTGCGATTCGATATTGTGGATGGAAATTCGAACGAATGCTTTCAAATTGATAAATACTCCGGAGCTCTTACCACAAGGTACTAGTATCCATTACTGGATAAAGAATTCTTCCTAAACTCTTAATTTTTTACAGAAACTTTGAAATACTCAATAATGAAAACGATCGGGAATACAACCTGCATGTCCGTGCCTCTGATGGCATTTACTCTGCCATTTTAATTGTTAAGATCAGGGTTATTGTGGCCATGGACACCAACTTTGTGTTCCAAAGAGATTCTTACAGGTTTTCTGCCATTGAAAATAACACCAAGGTGGCCACCATCGGTTTGGTCAATGTGGTGGGCAACTCCCTCAATGAAAATGTCGAGTACCGCATCCTGAATCCCACGGATCTCTTCGAAATCGGCATAAGTTCTGGGGCTCTAAAGACCACAGGTGTTATTTTTGATCGCGAAGTGAAGGATCTGTACAGACTCTTTGTGGAGGCCAAGTCGGAGTTGTATGAAGGATTAAATGCCAATGTCCGCAGAGCAGTAACTTCTGTGTATATCTCGGTCCTGGATGTAAACGACAACTGTCCGTTGTTCGTCAATATGCCATACTATGCCACTGTTTCAATAGACGATCCCAAAGGTACCATTATAATGCAAGTTAAGGCTGTGGACTTGGACAGTGCAGAGAACGGAGAGGTCCGGTACGAATTGAAGAAGGGAAATGGTGAACTCTTCAAGCTGGATCGAAAAACAGGAGAACTGTCCATTAAACAACATGTAGAGGGTCACAACAGGAACTATGAACTAACTGTGGCTGCCTATGATGGGGCTATAACGCCATGTTCCTCAGAAGCACCTCTTCAAGTTAAGGTAAGAGAATGGAAATCCAATGAAAGAAGGATTTAAAATAAATTATATTTCATTTAATAGGTTATTGATCGTTCTATGCCTGTGTTTGAGAAACAATTCTACACTGTAACCGTCAAGGAAGATGTGGAAATGTATTCGGCCCTTTCCGTCTCCATTGAAGCTGAGAGTCCCTTGGGCAGAGATCTAATCTACACCATATCTTCTGACAGCCAATCTTTTGAAATTGATTACAATACAGGTAGTAATTCTTACCCTTTACCTTTGTACCCTTTTTATTAAATATCCCTATTTGTAGGATCGATTTTTGTGGTTAGTGAACTGGACTACGAAGTAAAGAACAGCCATGACATTGCCATCCGAGCCACTGACAGTCTGTCTGGGGTTTTCGCCGAGGTTGTCCTCTCAGTTTCCGTAATCGACGTCAACGATTGCTATCCCGATATTGAGAGTGATATCTACAATATCACCATACCCGAGAACTCTTCGTTTGGCACTCAGATTTTAAAAATCAATGCCACTGACAAGGACTCGGGGGCGAATGCTAAGCTTTCCTACTACATTGAATCCATAAATGGGCAAAACAACTCCGACTTGTTCCACATTGATGTCTCAGATGGTAACTTGTATTTAAAGACGTCCTTGGACTATGAACAGGCCAGTTCCCATCACATTGTGGTTAATGTTAAGGACCATGGATCGCCCTCTCTGAGCTCGAGATCGAATGTTTTCATAACAGGTTTGTTTATATTGTTGAATATTGTATTTAATTTTATATAATTCTGTTAAAATTTTAGTGAAAGACTTGAATGACAATCCTCCTTGCTTTGTGGAGCCCTCCTACTTCACCAAGCTCTCTGCGGCAGCCGTTCGAGGACAGTTCGTGGCTCTGCCCAAGGCCTACGACAAGGATGTTTCCGATATTGATTCGCTGGAGTACAAGATTGTCTATGGAAACGAATTGCAGACCTACAGCATTGACAAGATGACTGGTGTCATATCCTTGCAGAACATGCTCAATTTCACCGACAAAAGTAGCACTGTTTTGAATATATCCGTATCGGATGGAGTGCATACGGCATATGCCCGCCTTAAAATATCCCTCCTACCGGAAAATACGTACAGTCCGCAGTTTGAAAAGAGCATCTATGAGGCTAAAATTCCAGAGAATTTGTTACATGGTCATAATGTAATCACGGTAAGTGATTCAAAGAAATTATAAAAGTATAATGTTTAAAATAATCTTCTATTCTCAGGTCACTGCCACGGATGGAGATTTCGGTCCCTACTCGAACCTTTATTATGAAATAGTATCCGAGGAGATGAAAAAGTACTTCGTTATTGATCAAACTACAGGTGTGATCACCTCGAGGGTTACATTCGATCGGGAGAAAAAGGACGACTACGAGGTGTTGTTGAAAGTGTCGGATGGTGGAGGATTGTTTAGTTTTGCAACTCTGAAGGTTTCCATTGTGGATGTCAACGACAATGTTCCCTATTTCCCACTGAAAGAATACAAAATAGTATTGAGCACGGCAACGGAGGTCAATAAAACTATTTTAACTGTAAGTTTTAATATAAATATATCTTGAAATATACTCATAAGTATAACCTTCTGCAGGTCAAAGCCAAGGACGACGATATTAATGAGAACGGGGCCATAATCTACAAGATTGTTCAAAAATCGATTGATGAAGAGCTAAATCGTTTGATTGAGATCAATGAAGGTAATGGGGATATCATCCTGAAACGAGAGCCTGGCAACTATGGAGCTGGTTCATATCAGTTTTTCGTACGGGCTTCCGATGGCGGAGATCCAAAGTTTCATTCCGAAGTTCCTGTTTCCATCGAAATAATCGAAACAGATACCCCTATTCCGGTGTTTGAAAAGCCTCTAGTCCATCTAAAGATCATCGAATCGACGCCTCCGGGAACTGTCCTCACCAAGCTGCACGTAATCGGAAACTTTACCTTCAAGTTTGCGATAGCAGCGGATCAGGACAACTTCATGATCTCGGACAATGGTGAACTGATCCTCCAGCAAACTCTGGACCGGGAACAGCAGGACTCTCATCACTTGATTGTGGTGGCGGAAACGGCCACTGTGCCTGTCCTCTACGCCTATGCAGATGTCCTGATTGATGTCAATGATGAAAACGACAATTATCCCAAGTTCGACAACACTTTCTACAGTGTCAGTGTGGCGGAGAACAGCGAAAAGGTCAACTCCCTGGTGAAGGTGTCTGCCACGGACGCGGATGCCGGGCCAAATGGCAATATCCGGTATTACTTGGAGAGTGATTCGGAGAACATACAAAACATATTCGACATTGACATCTACACGGGGTGGATCACATTGCTGACGCTGTTGGATCGGGAGGTTCAGTCGGAATACAACTTCAAAGTGATTGCAGCGGACAACGGGAGACCCAAGCACGATGCCAAAGTGCCGGTGACCATCAAAATAGTGGACTACAACGACAATGCTCCTGCTTTTAAGTTGCCCATCGAGAGGTTGTCGGTTTTGGAGAATGCCCTGCCAGGAACAGTGCTGGTCAACTTATTGCTGATCGATCCGGACATCGAGAAGCAGGAGATGGACTTTTTCATCGTCTCCGGCGATAAGCAGGCTCAGTTCCAGATTGGCAAGAGTGGCGAGCTGTTTATAGCTAAACCCCTGGACCGGGAACAGATCAAGTTCTATAACCTGAGCGTGATTGCTACCGATGGGAAGTTCACGGCTAAGGCCAATGTGGAGATCGATGTGATGGACATCAACGACAACATGCCCTTCTGCTTGAAGCCTCGATATCACATAACCACCAATGAATCCACTCCCATTGGCACCAAACTCGTGGAGATCAAGGCGGTTGACTTTGACCTGCAGAGCAAATTGCGTTTCTATCTTTCCGGCAAGGGAGCCGATGACTTTGCCATTGGTAAGGAGAATGGAATCCTGAAAGTGGCCAGTGCTCTGGATCGGGAAACGAATGCCAAGTACAAGTTGATTGCCCACGTCCAGGATGGCAAGGATTTCAGCCAGGAGTGCTTCTCCGAGATAATCGTAACCGTTACCGACGTAAACGACAACATTCCAGTGTTTTCAATGAACCAGTACCGGGTAAGCGTTCCCGAGGATGCCCAACTGAACACCTTGATCACCAAAGTGCACGCCGTGGACAAGGATTTCGGAATCAATCGACAAATAAAGTACTCTCTGATGGGTGAGAACCATGACTTTTTCAGAATTTCCAAAACCACCGGAATCATAAAGTTGGAAAAGAATCTGGATCGAGAAACCATATCATTGTTTAACCTCACGGTCAAGGCTGAGGATTATGGCATCCCGAAACTACATTCCATTGCCACCGTAGTCGTGAGCATTTTGGACATTAACGACAATCCTCCGGAGTTCAGCATGCGGCAGTATTCTTGCAAGGTTTTCGAAAACGCCACCCAAGGCACAGACGTCTGCAAAGTGTATGCGGCTTCTATAGACATCGGCGTTAATGCCGATATTCGTTACTATATAATGAGCGGCAACGAGCAGGGAAAGTTCTCCATGGATTCCGTGTCCGGCGATCTAACGCTGAACTCCAGTTTGGACTACGAGATGTCCAAGTTTTACTTCCTCACCATCCAGGCCATTGATGGAGGCACTCCACCGCTCAGCAATAATGCCCACGTCAATGTTTCCATCCTGGACATCAACGACAACAGCCCGAAGTTCCAACAAAACCTGTACCGTGTAAATGTCAATGAGGATGTTCTGGTGGGCTCCAAGATTCTGGATGTGAATGCTACGGATGAGGACTCGGATGTGAATGGCCTGGTGACCTACAGTATTGAAAGGGGCGACAACATAGGTCAGTTTTCGATTGATAGGAAAAACGGAACCATAGCCATCTCAAGGCCTCTGGATCGCGAGACCATTGCCAACTACAACCTGGAGATTCAGGCCTGTGATCAGGGAACTCCACAGCGTTGCAACATTGTGCCGGTGACCGTGAATGTCCTGGACACGAACGACAATGCCCCACTCTTTTCCAGCGCCAACTACAGTATTATGCTCCAGGAGAACCGGCCACTGGGCTACGTGTTCCTTACCTTCAAAGTTTCCGATGCAGATGAGTCGCCCAATACCACGCCGTATACGTTTGACATTCGTTCCGGCAACGAGGGCGGACTATTTCGATTGGGCCAGGACGGCTCCCTGAGCACTGCCGCTCGTTTCAACCACAATCTACAGGACGAGTTTGTGATCCAGATACGGGTCTTCGACAACGGCACTCCGCCTTTGTACTCCGATGCCTGGGTGGTGATCAAAATTATCGAAGAGAGCCAGTACCCGCCGATCGTTACCCCACTGGAGGTCAACATAAACTCCTTCGAGGATGACTTCTCTGGGGCGTTTATTGGCATGGTTCACGCCACCGACCAGGACAAGTACGATGAGCTGAGCTTCGGCCTCCAGGCACTGGTCTCCGGCCAGAACGAAACGTATCAGAGCTCCAAACTCTTTAACATTTCCAACAAAACCGGAAAGATATATGCCATCTCGAATCTGGACATTGGTCTCTACAAGCTGAATGTTTCGGTATCGGATGGAAAGTTCCAGGTCTTCTCGATTGTCAAGATCAATGTGGAGTTGGTCACTAGCGAAATGCTCAGGGAATCGGTGGTAATCCGCTTCAGTAGAATCTCCGCCTCAGAGTTCCTTCTCAGCCACAGGAAGACCTTCATGCGCTCCATTCGCAATATAATGCGCTGTCGACAAAAGGATGTGATTCTGATCACCCTGCAGGAGGAGACTCCCAGGCACTCGGTCGCCAGACGCCACAGCCGCTCCACGGGCACCAATTTGAACGTGGTTTTCGCGGTGCGGAAGCAGCAGATCATCCCAGATTCGGATGAGTTCTTCACCAGCGAGGAGATTCGCCAGACGCTGATTGACAAGAAGAACGAGATCGAGAACGAGACGAATCTGGTGGTGGAGGAAGTGCTGCCAGACACCTGCCAGAGCCAGAAGAACGCCTGCGTGCATGGCGAGTGCCGGCAGGTTCTCCGTATCCTTAAGAGCAATGTGACCACAACATTCACCGATGTGATTAGCTTCGCTGCTCCCTCGTACAACCAGGTGAACAGGTGCGTCTGCCGGCCGGGATACGATGGAAAGACTTGCAATGAGACGGTGAACGCCTGCTCCTCGGATCCCTGCTCTCCGCAAAGGATCTGCCTGCCCTCCGGCTCGGTTCTGGGCTACCAGTGCGTCTGTCCGAAGGGTTTCTCGGGTGCCTACTGCGAGCGTAAGTCCTCGCCCTGCAACAACGAGTCCTGCGACATTGGCCTGTTTACCGCCGTCTCCTTTGGAGGAAAGAGCTACGCCCACTACAAGATCAACAAAATGAAGGCCAAGATGGCTCTGGAGAACGAATTCTCGTACTCCCTGCAGATCCGTACTGTCCAGCAGAGCGGTACCCTGCTGTACGCCAGCGGCAAGGTAGACTACAACATTCTGGAGATCATCAACGGTGCGGTGCAGTACCGCTTCGACTTGGGCTCCGGTGAGGGAGTGATCAGCGTGTCCAGCGTCTACATCTCCGATGGGGAGTGGCACGTGATTAGCCTTGAGCGTTCCCTCAACAGTGCCAAGCTGATGGTGGACAACAAGCACGTCTCGCATGGCAGTGCCCCCGGCGTCAATGGCATCCTGAACATCCAGTCCAACGACATTTTCGTTGGCGCCGAGGTTCGTCCCCATCCGTCGATCATCGGCTACGAGGATATCCAGCGGGGATTCATCGGCTGCATGGCTAACATCAAGATTGCCCAGGAGTCCCTGCCGCTCTACATATCCGGTGGCAGCACCATCGCCGCCCTCAAGAGATTCACTAACGTAGAGTTCAAGTGCGATCCCTCGAACGTGCTTCAGGTCCTGGGCATTTGCGGCTCCCAGCCGTGTGCCAACAGCGGCATCTGTAAGGATCTTGGCGGAGAGTCCTTTGAGTGTGCCTGCCAGTCCCGCTTCTCGGGCAAGCAGTGCGAAATCGATCTCGATCCCTGCTCCTCCGGACCCTGTCTGTTTGGAGGACGCTGCGACCACCACGGGCCAAACAACTACACCTGCACCTGCCCCATCCACCTGTCCGGCAAGAGGTGCGAGTACGGAAAGTTCTGCACACCGAATCCCTGCAAGAACGGAGGAATCTGCGAGGAGGGCGACGGCATATCGCACTGCATGTGCCGAGGATACACGGGCCCCACCTGCGAAATCGACGTGGATGAGTGCGAAAACCAGCCGTGTGGCAACGGGGCAACCTGCATCAACGAGCCGGGCAGTTTCAGGTGCATCTGTCCCTCCTACCTGACCGGGGCCAGCTGTGGAGATCCCCTTTACTCCAACTCGATATCCACGAAGCTGAAGAACTTCTCCCTGGAGCACATCAGCGGCATTATTTCCGGCATCACTGTGGTGCTGGTCGTGATCAGCTGCGCCCTGTGTTGTGTGGTCATTCGCAGGAATTCGTCCGCCAAGCGCAGGAACCGTCTCGACCGGGACAAGAACAAGGCATCCTACAAGGAGGCGAATCTTAACTCGCTGGTGGACAAGGACAACTACTGCAAGTCGAATGTCAAGCTAAGCAATCTGGAGGTCAACCAGCGACCCATCAGCTACACAGCAGCTCCGAACGACAGCCTGTTTCTGAGCAACAACAGGAACTTTGTCAACAACTTGGACATCTTGAGGAGCTATGGATCGGCTGGCGATGAGCTGGAGAATGTGCCATTCGAGTACCAGAAGGTGAACCGAAACAAACAGCATGTGAACATCAATACTTGCCATTCCGCGGATGGAGAAAATAATGGCTACAAGCAGGAGTGGTGCGAGCAAATGCACTTGAGGACCTTCTCTGAAAATAAACTTAATAATGGTTAGTATCCTTAGCAAGGATCCTTACTAGAAGATTATAAAACTAATCTTTTAAAAAATTGTAGAACTCAAGAGGGACTATGGACCATCGGTGAGCCGCTTCTCGACCGGGAAACTCATCCAAGTGGAAATGCCAAATGTATGCCACTCCTCTGGTGCTGGGAACTTTGTCGATTACTCCGCCCTGGCCAATGGGCAGTACCATTGGGACTGCTCTGACTGGGTGCGCAAGAGCCATAATCCTTTGCCGGATATAACCGAGGTGCCCGGAGCCGAAATAGCCGACTCCTCCAGCTTGCACAGCAACGACAGCAATGAGTCCAAGTCGAAAAAAGCCTTTTTCGTTCACAGTAAGTTTTCCAACAAAATTTAAGAAAATAAGGAAATAATTTAAAATAACTCATCTTAGGGGAAGATGGAGATGTGGATCCGACAAGGGATATAGCCGCTTTAAATGAGGATATCGGATCCGAGTACTTGGATTCGGAGGCCGAGAGCTGCTTGGAGCCGTTTATGTTGCCCAGATCAAATAATCAGCCGCTTTCAAGACTGAGTTCTTTTAATAATATCGAGAATGAAGACTATAAATCAAATACAGGTAAGAATATTAATTCTTTCAGATACTTTAGATAATTATATCTAGTTATTATTGGCTTTTTAAGATCTTTTTGTTGTTGTTTTATTACTAAAACTATTACTAACATCACTTCTATTTAATTATCTATTTAAAAACTTCCTTCCATGCATTCAGTGCCTTTACCGTCGACACTTAGTCATTCGTGTAAGTCTTCAATTCATCCCTAAGTAATGTGCGAATTGTCGCGAATTGAAATATATCCTTTAGTTACCATTGAAACACAACACATATTTGACTTGTAAATACAGAATTCTCATAGGAGAAGGATATTTAATATTCGAGAGTGTGAATAAAACCGAAAGAATAAAGAACGTTTAACTAAGAAATTTGATATGGTCTTGTCTTAATTCCAAGTCTAATTTTCATGATTGCTTTCAGGCACAGAGTAGTGGAAATGAAGTGTATTTTTTCCAAATGTATTTAATAATTAAGAACTAATATTTTATAAGAAACTTACTAAATGGGAAATGGATCTAACTAATTAGTATTTGAAAAATCAATGACTATATTCATCTATTCTGCAGGCAAAGTATATTTAAGACATCCTGATTCATATTTGCCAACGATGCATTTTCCAAGTGAAACGGATGGGGAAAGCTCTTTGAACGAGGGACCCATTTCAAGGAGGGAAACTAAAAGCCGAAGAACATTAAGTGGTAAGATTTCAACACTATCCCATAGAACATAAATATCTTAATAAAATAATCATATTTTACAGAGAATTCAGAGGAAGCGTTCCTATTTCCATGTGCTGGCGGAGAAATGGGCTCCAACAGCAATATTTCAGTTCGTCTTTGTGAAATTGAAGATTCTGAACTGGAAGAATTTTTGCCACAACAACAGAAAAACATTTAAATGACATGCTTAGCTATAAGAACTAATTTTTACATTTTTTATTTTGTTAGATACTAATTTCCATAGGAACTTCAGTTGAATATTTTCAATAAAAAGATATATATATTTATATATAAACATTTATAATTTTTATTTTTTACATTTATTTAAAAATATTAACAATACATAGTGATTTGGATAGCAAAGTTAAAAATCGAGTTAAAAACTGGATAATATCTATTTCTTTTTCGATTTTTCCAACTTCTTAGCCATAAAGCTTTTCCTTAACTTCATCAGTCTGTTGGTGCCGCCAAACCATTTGTTGAATTTCTCCATCATCTAAAATAAGAGATTAGATTAAGAACTAGCCAGTTAAAGTATGAATTGTTGTTACCTTATCCTCTATGGGGAAAAGAGGTGGTTTTTCCTCGTTTATGAAATATTCCAGGAACTCGTGGGGATCCAATGCATCAGTTTGCAGTCGCATTCTCCTCTCGATACTCAATGTGTTCTTGATGTTGTCAGTAATGTCCCCAGAGTTGTAGGCTTGCAGAACTCTTGCTAGTGCAGAATAGGCATATTCTTCCATATTATCGGGACAATTTTCGGTCATCAGTTCCAGCCAAATCAAGAAGCTCGTACCGTAGTCGCACCTCGGAATAAGTAAGATTTTCTGGAACGCTTTTCGAATGCCACCTTTTGCCGACCATGGCATGTTGCTCGTACCAACCACTACAATTTTATCATTCTTCTTCAGAGGCTTTAGAATTTTACTGGCTATGGAGGCCCCCAACAGCCTTGGGTTGATATCCTGCGCCTCTGGCGGAATTTTATTCCAGAATAATCGATGCGCCTCTTCTATATACATGATGGTGGGCTGAAAGGCTTTTGCGACTTTCATAATTAGATGGAGGAAGTATTTTAAATCATCGGCGTACTTGTAGGTCTTTTCTGGACTCAGGTTCATAAAAACAGCATCTGGAAAATGTATTACTATGATATATAATTCTAGAAGATATTCTTAAATATTTTACCCAATTCTGAAGCAATTATATTGCAGAGCAATTTCTTTCCACTATTCAATGGACCGATGAGGAGTAAAGATTTTGGTTTTGGAATATCAAATTCGCCCATTCCCAGCATTGACTCTTGGATGACCATTTTAATATCACCTTTGGCTGGACCCAGTGTTCTAAAAACAAATATTCATTCTTAAATAAAAAATAAATCACAAAATTATTAAAAACTTACGTCAAGTCATCCTCATCTCGAGTATCATCGGCCACAAAGTTAAAGTCTGCAATGAATTCATCGAAATCTTTCGTTGAAACTTCTTCAATGATTCCTCCGTCCTTCAATTCGTTGTACAAGGACTCCAGAGTCCTGTCACCGGTTGGGTCCTTTGGCTTCTTCTTCTTCTTGGGCTTTTTCTGCTTTGGATATTTGACCTTTAATGGAGTGTACTTTTCATCTTTGTCTTTTGCCAAAGCTTCACGTAGCAATTCATATTCCACCCTGAAATACACAAAAATATTAAACATTTTAGGTGTAGCTAAAGGTGTTAGGTGTAGGTGTTACCTCATATATTCGTCTACCAAACCCCTGACTTCCTGATGGATCTTGGCCAGTTCATCTTCGATAACCCACTCCTTGATGGGATCATGGTTTTTATTTAAATACTCGTCAACGTTTCTCCAGTCTTCAGCGTATTTTTTCATTGTTTCTTCAATGGCAACTGAAAAAGATTAAATAAAAATTAAAATATTTTGTAAATCCTTTTTAATATTTTTAAAGATCTTACCTATAGGCTTGCTTGCACCGATTTCATAGCCAATGTCGATGATTCCCGCATCTCTTAGCTTCTTCCTGCGCTTAGCTTCCTTCATTTTTACTAGCTTTATTTTCTCCTTCTTCTTTCTCTTTTCTTTTCTCTCCTTATCCTTAAGCTTTTTCTTCTCTTCCTTGGTCATTGGCTTCTTGCCCAAGGTCTGCTGAAACTCCATTGGAGTCATGGTTTCATCGATGACCACTAAAACAGTGCCCTTCTTAACAGGATCGGGGTAAGGATGGAAATCTTGGGTCTTTTCATAGCTGAAAGTAATAGTAAGTAATAAAAGGCCTTTTTAGGATAGAATCTTGACTCACAATTCAGCAAACCAAGCTCGAATATGATCAGATATATCCTCCATCATCCAGGGACTACGCACTTGCAACAGCCTTGTACGTTCGTCGAGCATTAAGTTGATGTATTCCTCGTCCAGTTTTTTCTTCAGCATTTCATTTTTATACATTTCCATAACCGCGTTGGCTCTCTGGTTCGGTCTTTTGAGTTTTCTCATTTTTTTCATACCATAGAGCTCTTCTTTGAAGCGTTTCTTTATTTTAACAATTTTCCTCGCCCTGTAACCTCTCCACCATCTTTGGATTTCAGTGGCTGCCTTATTTCTTTTCAAATTGTAAGCTTCTTCATCTACAAAAGGGAAAATAATGTTAACTAAAGTCTTAGGGTTTAATGTGGAAAATTACCAAAGAATGCTGGAGTGTCTCCTACATCATCTTTGGTCCTTAAATACTGACAGTCCTCTGTATTTTTGATGAAATCTGCAGTGAATATGGTTCTTTTAACGGGTATACTCATGGTCTGATCGGGTTTGAAGGTGAACCGATAGTTTATTTTTTTCCTCTGAAACACCTTGAGGAACTTCTTTTTATCGAACTTGAGATTTGACTTATATACACGAGCTCGTCGCGCTCTTTCATGGGCCTGGATCAGCTTCACAGCGTCGGTGATAGGCATCCAATCCTTGGCTGCCTTCTCTTCCTTTTCCACATCGTTCATGTACAGTCTATTGTCCGCAATGATATTTTGAATATCCAGTGGACGGCGGTAGAGAAACTGAGGAGATCTCCATATAACCAAGTCCCGGGGTGTCAGTTTTCTGGCGATCAAAGCTTTGTCCAAATAAACGTACTCGCTCATCTCCAATTCCTTTAGCTCCTCCTTGAGTTTCATCAACTGCTGGGTGGCACTTTCAACAAGGGTCCGCACCACGGCTCGTTTTTGCACTTGGAAGGTATGATGGTAGATGAAACCCAACTTTGCCACCAACTCCACATACAAGACATAAAGTTCAGCGAATATTTTAAAGGAAACTGCCTTCTCGTCAGGTGGTTCAATTTTTTTCAAACGGTTCTGCTTTTTAATAAGCTGGGCGATATCCTTTCTGGTGGACACCCAGTACTTATGATTTAAATCGAAAGACATTTTGAATTTTCAGAATCTTCTCTAATTGACGAAAAAATAGTTTTGCGTGTGGTATGAATATATATTGAATTTATTTATATCTGTACACTTAATAAAAAATATGTCGATTACCTGAATATTCAAAGGTTACTTAGTACCAATATATTTTTTTGATTTCATATTAATTTATCACTGCATCTTAATTTATTTTAATAAACTAATCAGGGAATCCGGAAGGGCACAACCACTGCCTCCTTGTGGTCAATTTGAATATGTGAGACACTCACATGCGCTTTCTCAATAAAGTCCTTCATCTAAAAATAGATAAGAATTTATATTAAATTCTCGGATTAGTCTATTAATACTCTTACTTGAGCTGTGTCCTCCGGATAAAGAGGCTTTGCTAAATAGAACTGATGGCTGGGGACGTCTTTTAAGAGGCCTGCAATATTGAAGTGTAAGTAATTATGGTAACTATTAATAATTTATATATATACCTTTCAGTATGACACTGGGGTGTTGTACATTACTCCACTGCTGGTGCAACCTCTGCGAGTACAATCTTATTCTGTCAGTGTACTCCTGGTGCTCCAAGCTATGGCAGTCCATGGCACCAACATTGATCATGTTTCTAAGGGGAAAAAGTGGAGTTTAAATTAATACAGGTATCTAAACATAAATTCTCCTACGAAAGATATTGAATATCCATTCAACAAACAATGGTTACTGAGAGACGATCATTTGTCATTAAAATAAGTGTAAACAAACAACTGGACACCGACAATGTGTGTCATGCTATGCTTATCAAACCGATAGGGCGTCGTACTAGTTCCTATCTGTCGTAGCAAACATCCAAATCAAATTGGAATACCCTATAAGGGTAAATTGGTGCCCTATCGGAAAGTAGAAGGTGCATAACAACTGCGTACATGGCTGTATTTTGAACCAATCTGGATAGAGCGGTCTGGTCATCCTTCTTGGGTAGCGAGTGGGCGTAGTCGTTGCTCAGGCCATCCGAGTTGCTTCTCCGGAGGGCCGGGCTGTGGTTCACGGGATCTACTAGAAGGTGTGTCCTCTCGTTTGGCTCGTTCGGCTGCAAGGGGAATAAAGAACACAATAATAGAGGGAATTACAGATCGACCCGAAGCTGATGACTCACCTGAGCTCCTGTGTCTTCGGTGCATTGCCAGCAGTTGCAGATCGAGGCCAGGTAATTCCAAACGGAGTGTATATAATCCATTTTTTAAGTAATTTTAATGCAGTTTTCGATGTTTTTAGAATTTCTAGTGATGTGCTTTCAGCATTTTTCAGCGTTCAACAATACTTTTTTTAACTATCGAGAATCGATTTGGGAAAATACTAAAAATTATGCAGTATTATTTATCGATTTCCTTAACCGGCGACATATTTAAACATTTTTTCTTCAATATTTTAAAAGGTTAATTTTCGTTTCATTGATATACAATGAAGCTAAATTATATTTTTTTTCTAAAAGCTGTAAATTTCATATCCAGATTGTAAAATGAAGTAGATCGGCTTTAGTAACAAACATGAGGAAAAAATAGTTCCAAGATACTATCATGAAACTATCTTGAAAGCTCAGAATATTAAAAAAAAAAACCCATACCTACAGAAAATAAATAGGTTTATTACATTTATCTTTTGCAATTTAATAAAGTTATTCATTTCGTCTTTCCTTTATTGACCACAGACACAGACAAATTCATGAAGTTGTCAGTCTTGTAGGGCTCTGCCTCATTCCAGGAAGGATATTTATCTCGAATTTTCCTTCATGCCAATCAAATGAATTGGGCTGCATGTTTTTAATTGTGTCGCTCGCGTCAAATGACGAAGCAGCGAAATACATCACACCCGCCCACTGGAACGCCCTTAAATCAACGATGCGGTTAACCATGATGGCGAGAGCAGCGAGGCGGAAACACAAATTCATTGCCGAGGTTGCAAGACATGGGGGAACATGTGTGTGCCCCAATCGGGGTGATTCCCCCCCACTTCTGCCTCGCAACGGATCCTTGCTTTTCCTCTTTTGCACGCTTTTAAGAAATACACAACAATTTTTGGAAAAATTTCACATAAAATTGGTTGACTTTAAATTTGATACTTACAGTGTTTTAAACTTATTTCAAAGGATATTTCCTAAGATTTTCTATAAATAATAAAATTAAATTTTAAAGTCTTAGCTTTTTTGAACAGTGTTCTTTTCCATCAGCCATTCAGGCAGACGCCCTCACACTCTCGCCTGTAAATTGTAACTTCATTTTGGCGGCAATGCTCTTCGCTTTTGTTTCCGTTTCTGCGGCACCGGAAGCCGACGCACAAATTTCATAACTGCCACAAGGAGCAGCTTCTCATCAGATTCAATTATCCTTCACATGAACTGGAAACCCGGGAGGATATCGATCAGTAACTACATACATATGTTTGTTATCTAGAAATCAAAGGACTCTTTTCGCTGTTCTTCTCGTACCCTAACACACAGATTTTTCAATAAATAAATAAATATTTACCCGAGCATTTCTTCGAAAAAATGTGACTTTGACAGAGCTGAAATGTATCTATTTAATTTTCACCCAGACTCTAGGTTTATTTAAAAGGCATTTCGGTATTCTGCCTTCACTTACATCTCCCATTTACTTATTTATTTAATTTTATGGCATTTCACAGTTCAATTTCTGCCACCTAAATTACTCTGACGCGACTTGTCGCTCTGCCACATCCTGTAAGGATCTGTGAGCGAAAAAAAAGGGAATCGCTACCACATTAGCAATTTAATGAACCCCCACAAAGCAGTTTGCCACTTGATTGCCTGCGGCTTGCCTCATGTCTTGCCTGATTGGATCCAGTTGGTGTTTTATCTATCCACGCCTTAGACACTGGAGCGTTAACAGCCACGCCCTCAGCTCAGGTCTGCAGTCCTTGGGCCAGGATACTGCCGCCCATTGTTGCATCGACAAAGAAAACCCAATTTACAAAGAAAAGCTAGGGATTATCGGCGACCCAGACCCGGACCAGCCGCAAAAGTACGCCAGTAGCGTTTTTAATATGCAAAACGGCAAATATCCGGATGCAACATCAGTGTGCCACAACCCCACCACCATTCACTTCTCCGGATAAACAGTGCGGCACAAACTTACAGCAGGAAAAACAACATTTTTATGCGAAACACTTTGGCCTTTAACTTCGTGGCCTGCTCCTGCATCCTGCAGTGCCTTGCGCCGTTAACTGGATTGTTTGTGTTGACTTGGTTAGGGTCTGGCCTGGAGGACTAGACTCCGGTTTACACCAGGCCATAAATGTCTAGCTAGGCGATAAAGTCTAACCTGATTATGCAGCTATATTTAAAGAAAACGATCAAAGGGAAATGGCTGCAAAAAAGGAGTTTATTTTTTATCTATTTTGAAAATTTAAATATCTATATATTCATTTACAGAAAAGTTCTAAAAAAAAAATCCATGTTTTATCGTTTGATTGTAAGGACTGATATATCGATTCCCGCCAGCAGAAACTATACACATTTCTACAATGCTGTCCCTCTAAGCTGTCATAAATCCGGGGGAAAATCCATAAACTCGGGTTTAAGCCCCAGGTGAACGAGGACACCATCGCCAGCGACATCTGCAAATGCGACAAATGCATTTGGAATGCAATTCAATTTCCTTTTTGGCCCGTTCGCGTCCTTGGCGGTGGCTTCGAACCCCTTATTGGTGGATGTTTGAATTGTTGGCCTTAATTTACCAAAAACGTTTCTCCGTGTGCAATTTACTCTATTTCAGTGCGACATTTCTCATGGCGTGTCTTAATTTCCAATTGTCACCGGTATTTTTCCCAAGGATTTAGCTAGTTTCTGCCATCGATTACTGTTATTTCTAGCAGCAGACGAGGGGGAAGCTGGCAATATTCCACCTGTCGGTCCATTAGCGAATATATTAAACATGGTTGGCTTGAAGTTTAGAGGGAAACACAGCGAGTACCAATAAAGAAGGAGGTTAGCGAATATGGGTCATTGATTAATTAAACTAGTCCTAATTCAGATAAGCTAGTGAATGCTAGCATTTTTAAGGACACTCTCATTGACAAGAACAACCAGGTCATAAATAAATATAATACCCAACCTTTTCGTAGAAACCTCTTCACCTGGAGAATGGTAAACCACGTGTTAGGCTTTTAGGCCAAAACGATAGCTGTTTGTTTTTTGTGGGCCAGGTGAAAAGTAATTGAACTTGTTGCCAAACTTTGGCCATCAAACAAGCCGACAGCTGTTGTCAGTTCTTCAGTTTCCTCTCTTGTTGTCATCACACGCTTCGTTTGCGCTTTGATGTATGCTATGATTTGTTTTATTGCTTTACTTCGCCACCCCACACTCCTAGGAGTCCTAGGACTATGTCCTAGTTGGGAAAATTTTTGAGAAAAACTTTTTCGTAGCAAGTTTTTTTGTGGCACCGCCCCCTTGCATTATCTTAGCCGGGACTGGTCTGGCCTAGTCTCTGGTCTGGTTTGTTTGTTCAGTTGCCCGCAAATTATTTGAATTTACCATTTACCACCCCCTAACCCCTACCCGCCTTACTTCTCGTCGATTAATCTTCAGGATTCCTCTGGCTGTGTGTCGGTTAGTGAGGGTCCTTGTCTGTGTCAGTTTTTGGGATTTGTCTTGCTCGTTGGCCTGAGCTCTTTGTTTGTTTTTGCAGTTTGAAAATAGATATTCTGGCACTTTGCGAGCTTTTATAGTTTGGTTTTGATAATGTCTCTGGATTTTCTCTGTTCGTTTTACCCCTTTAGTCTCTCCATCTGTTTGTTGAGTTGCTGTTGGATTCAAATTTATCGCCTTTGGTGAAATCAAGGTCGGGCATTTGGGGGCGTGGTGGCTCGACCTTGGCCGAACTTTGAATAAATCAAAAGATTTATTCTCTTCCCTAAAAGGAAATGAAGTTTTGGTTAACTAACTTTGCTGCCAAGAACGTGTCCTTCTGACCAGGTTATTAGGTTCATCAGTGCCTTTGGCAAATTTCAATAGTAATTCCATCGCCTCGACGTCCTTTGAACCCTTTTTCTGAAATCGCCGTGTTTGCACAAAGTTCAATGAATATTCGAAGTTTGAGGCAATATGTGAGTGGGCTTCTGGCGGCGTATTGTAATCAAAATTGGTCCCCGCATTCCGACGTCCCCCCGGAATCAAAGGAACCCGAAACAGGACCAGGACCTCGTCGGGTTCCCGTCAATGGAGTTGGCAGGCAACCGTGTAAATGCAATTTCCGCTTGGTGCAACCGGAATTTCGTGCGAGCCAGGTGGCATTACATTGCGTTACAGGCCAACATGACGGCTTGACGAAATGATGGACTGACTGACAGCTCAAAGTCCATAAAGGACTACGTCTAAAGTCACGATGATAAAAAATTCCTTGGGTAATTTCTCTTTTCGTAAATGCAACTTCAAATAAAAAGGATTCTTTTTTAAATTTCTTGTATTCTTCATCATGAGCCCTTATAACTTATAAGTGATTTCTCCCATGTCGGGGACTTTTATGCGGAATACATTGATGATGCTTTTATTCCCAGGCAAGTGCAGCTTTATTGCAGCACTCGAACCGCGTCCTTTGCACTCGTCGACGACCCCTTTTTTTTTTCGTCCCGCCACTGGCCATTTCGCTTTATTGCTTTCTGTATATGGATGCTTCATATGGTTGCCATGCCCTTGTGAGCTCATTTTATGTGAATTTATTTTTATGGACCGTTGACTTCTGATTCCATTCCGCTGCTGTTCCTCTCGTTGTTATTCTGAATATGTTTTATAATAATTTCATAAGTGTTTATTGGGACGCCATCGTTTTGTTTGGCTTAACAATTGCACATTTGATTGCATCTTAATAGATGCAAACCATTTTAAACTGATACAATATTAAATACGTTTTGTGTGGCATAAGCACTTATCAAAGATGTACAAAGATGTGCTGTATACAAGTATTGCCCGCATTTAAATCAAAGCAACCGAAAACAAAATAGTCTCCTTGTTTGATGTGTGCTTTTGCATTTTAGAGCTTACTCAGTTTACCTGAACTACAGTCTCATATGCATTCGTAGAATTAAGTCCTTTAAGCCTTAAAGTCTTAATGTGCTGGCAAAGAAATAATTCGTAGCATTTCTTTTTTTGCTGGCTCACATGGCAATAAGCAATTATAAAAATATGAAAAGCTCCAGCCACTTGTACAGAAGTAATTTGTCTTGCAATTAACTGCCTGTGGAGGAAGGAAGCATTCTTGGGGCGGCAAAACAGGCTTCCACTTGAACTCCACAAAGGGTCTCAGGGG